AACATTCTCTAGTCACAAAGTATGCAACGCTTGTACTATGGGAACTAAAAACTGATAAACTTACTTAAATATACTTTTCTTTTGTAAATAAACGCATATTATACCTACATAAACACCCAGACACTGGAAGTATATGTTCATCACACAATATTTTCTAGAAGTGGGGATCGAATCCACACTGACGCAAAATGCCGGTTTCTTATTCCCCACGCCAATCAGGTTCATCAAGGTAAAATTATACAGCAAAGGTCATCACATAAATTCTCAATCAGAAATAATTAAGTACATCAGAGTAGATAACATTTCCTGAAAACTTGGGGCGAAGATCTGTTTTTAAAAACTCTTCCCCATCGGATACATTAGTCTTTCAATTCTATTACTACGCAGTTACGTACCAGTTTTGTAATGGAGATGAACTTTATTTGAACTTTAATTCGGTTTCAGTTGCATTCTACTAAAGTTTGAAACCGTAAGTACGTTAGCAAAGCCATAGGAGACAATACTGCTTTACTTATGCTTAAATATTCAGGCCATGGCCATGTCTCCAGACGTACTGATGGTCGCTGGAGCCGACACGTGTTAGAGTGGACACCACAGTTAGGAAAACGAAGTGTGGGACGGCCTGCAGCATGATGGACTGACGACTTAAGAAGGGTGGCGGGCAGCGGATGGATGCTGCCCAGGACCGGGATAGTTGGCGCACTTTGGGGGAGGCTTACGTTCAGCAGTGGACGGCAATAGGCTGATATTATTATTATTATTGTTGTTAAATATTCAGGTGCTATACCGTAGTTTTAAAATTAAGTTAATTCTCGGGCAAATTTAATTGATCAACAGAAAGGGTCTCGCCTTTCACCATTATAACGCCAGACCACACACATCTTTCACACAATCACTTCAATGAAGTGGTGATAAGATACATTATATTAGAGACATGTTATAAAACATAGCTTTTACCCATTGGTATAACTATAACACAATGACTCAATAATGGTAACAAAAATACTTAGCTTTTCCAACAGAGTTTATTGGAGACAAGTTATAAAATACAGCTTTTACCGACTTATACAACTACAACTCAACGATGACTCAATAATTGGATAACAATATCACTTAGTTTTCCAACAAAGCAACAGCCCTTAACTACCAATAGGCAAAAACTAACTCGCGTACGCTGTGAGAGTTGAATTTATACCCAATACCAAACCCAATACCCAATACCCTCAAAAACCAATACCAACCTAGGATAGGAAATATCAAGACGCAATAGGTATCAAACCAACAACTTTTAAATAAGTCTCAACAAACTGTACTAATAAATTATTGATAAATTATTAATTAGATTAAATATGTGCCATAATTATAACAATTGCTTCATTCTCTCAGGCGTCTCCAAAAGTTCTTGCCCTTCAAAACGAAAATTGCACTAGCCCAGTCACTTCTTCTACCTCTTCTTGATTACGATGCTACTTGGATGCTGCGGAGCCGCTGCTGAATAAATTGGAACGCTTACAAAACATGTGTATACACTTCATTTTCGGGCTGCGGATAACTTTTTAAAATTGTATTAAACATTTACATTCTTTAAACATCAATATTTACCGAGTTATTAAACTTTCCAAAACAAAGAATTTCAGAACACTCTTACGTTTATACGTAAGGGTGTTCTACATATAAAGTTTTATAACTTTAAAGTAAAGTTCATTTGTAAAGGTCACAAAGCATATGAATGGGTTGAATGAATTGAAAAGAGACAAAAAATACTGTTAGAAGGAGAGTTTTTAACGTTAATATTTTTTATGATTATTTGCAAGTAGCGTCAGACGCGTGTTCATTTATTGTCGCGGTGATAATGACACGCTGTATATTATATATTTGTTATGTATTATGTACATTTGTTCATAGATATATTTATGTATATATATTTATGTAGGGTATGTTATAGGAATTCTGTGTGCACTGAACACATTTCTAGAGCTACCTTCAATCACCTATTTTCTCACCACATTAGCTGGCAAAGAAATCATGCATTGAGTTAAGCTTACCTTTTGTACATTATTTTCATTTTTCATTATTTTTTTTGTATCTTGTGTTTTGTGTACAATAAATATATAAATATAAATATCTTTGACCACTCAGCAAAAATTGAGGTTTGGTTAAAGACCACGTGCATTTTTTTTATCGGTAGTGCCAACATTTCTACAGCAAAAGGATTAAGTCACTATGACAAGATGGCAACAAGTAATCGAACTTGGCAGAATTCTTTTAAGAGAGGCCATTAATCAAAGAAGAAGAAGAAGTTATCGAACAAAATGGAAAATACGTGTAATGAAACTTTGAAAAAAAAATATTTGTACATAAAATATGAAGAAGTATGTGTCTATGCATAACATAATAAACAGTTGAGATTAACATAGACAGATTTTCTAAATGCGCGTCAATTTCTGCCATACATATAGAAAAATGCAAATAATTTTTTCAATAAAAAAGTAAAGTAAAGTTTAACAAGCGTTTACTTCACATTCTAGATTTATTACCGTGTGATTTTTTTTACGTTTCGAAAGTATGGTTTCGTCGAGTGTACAATGCGTGGACGCTGGAAAGTTTTGGAAAACAGTAAATATAATTTTCAGGGACACTAACAATGTTCTCCTGTTCCCTATTCGCGGATGTCATTTTCTCCAGCCTGAGTCCTCCTGCTATTACTGAACAGACGGTGAACAAGCTGACGTTGCAAATATTGTGAAATTGTCAACTGTCGCACGCCGTGTCTGACTAACAATATTGGATGCAGCGTCACGTTTCCAACCCTTTGTTGTCACTTTTCACGTGTTCACGTACAAATGAATCTGTGTGAACTGAATAAATATAAATCTCGGAAACAGCTCCGGCGATTTTCATGAAATTTAGTATGTGCGTAGATTCGGGGGCGAAAAATCGATCTAGCTAGGTTTCATTTTTAGAAAATGTCCTTTTATCCCTGTTTTCAGGGATTGAAAAATGTCATTCGAATATGACGGTAAATTTCGCCGCAAAAGAAAATGTTATAAATGGTCGGTAATCGGGCGGCCCCTAAACAGACGGCCGTGCTTCGTATAACGATCATTTACACTCTTTTTTTTACTTTTTTTCGATTCCAGATCATTGCTTTCTTTATTTTTAATTTTTTGTCGATTTTTGTTATTTTGTTATTTTTTCCCTTTTTTTTAAAGTTCTTTCTTTTGTGAAAAACGCCATTTCATATTTTCTTATTATTACGTCGGTAAGATCGAAAAATATTATGCATATTTTATTACTCAGTAATTTGTATCTAAATGTAATTTCCAAAATACATAATTTACCAAAAAAAACAAACCTCCAGGAACTGATAATTAAATACCTACTGCTTTTTTTTTCAGAGGTGTGTTGTGGATATGCCATATTACCTGCAATTCTTTGGCAAAATTAAAGATTCAAACATAATTTTAAAGCTTATGTTCTCTGAAAAAAGACAAATTTTTGAGTTCAACAAAGTTAGATTTCATTAAAACGATAATGCCGTCTGTTGACAATTTATCTAGATGACTATCTTCCATCATTAAGAAACATAAACGTAAATAAAATAATGAGTAGCAACTTGATTTGTTCGTTTTATTGAGAAAAAAAAATATAGCGTTCGTTTAAGTATTTTATTATTGGCTTGAGTATTCGAAAGTCAACGTTAGAGGAAATCAATTTCACGGTTGGAGTAAGAAGTATTTGGCAAACATTATTGTTTATTCGTTAAGGAGTTCGTGTTATTGTGAAATAAAATTGTTGGTGTAACAACGATTATAAATAAAATAAAAATTCGAGTCTTTACCATATAATCTGAAAATAATTCGTAATAGACGGTATGGAACAAAACTGGTTTATTAAATTTCAGAAAGGTTTTCGATGCATAACTTACACATGGGCCAGTGTTATGAATCAGTTCTAGATAGACTTTAGTGACTTAAAGTGCGTCCTGCGTTATCTTAAAACGCTTTTCAAGACTTTCAGATTCGATTAAAAATGCTTTTTATACAGGATTGCTTTATCATTCGATAGTTATTAATTAATATTTAGACTTGTGGTGTGAATAAGCAACTTCATTGATAATTTTCATTGCTTTTTTTTAGTATTATAATTGAAAGCTTGAAAGTGCATCAGAGGCTGAGAAAATAAGGGGTAGTTTGATATTGTATGGGACAAGAAAAGAAATGAAAATCATGTGGCTATAGGAGTGTTGAGTATGAACGTTGTTGAAGGCTGTGGGGAGACCGAGAGAGGTTTGGATGGACACGGTATTGATATGATGGCTGGGAGGTGAATGAAAGAAAATCGAGATAAGAAAGAAGGAGACGCTTAAAAGCGACAAAACCGTGAACTCAACTGAACTAATGTGTATTATTAGGGTTCCGTACCCAAAGGATGAAACGGGACCCTATTACTAAGGCTTCGCTGTTTTTCTGTCTGTCTGTCTTTCCGTCTGTCACCAGGCTGTACCTCGTAAACCGTGAAAGTTAGACAGATGAAATTTTCAAAGATGACGTTTTTCTGTTACCGCTATAACAAAAAATACTAAAAATTAAAATAAAAAAATATTTAAGTTTCCTATACAACAGTCATGATCTTTTTACCGTTTTTATAGATAACTAGCTTTCCGCCCGCGGCTTTGCTCGCGTTGAAGCCCTTAAATAAATATCTTTCTTTAACCTTTCAACTCTTTACAACACTTTCTTCCAATAAAAAAATAGCTTATGCCCTTTCTCAGGCTCTAGACTATCTGTGTACCAAATATTTAAATCGGTTCAGTCGTTTTGGCGTGAAAGCGAGACAGACAGACAGAGTTACTTTAGCATTTATAATATTAGTATGGATGGTACGGTACCCTCCGTGCGCTAGTGCGACTCGCACTTAGCCGTGTTATTTTTTAATCAATTACTTAATTCCAGATGAAATTCGCTTTCACAACGGCACTGGGCGTAACGATTTTGACAATGTTCCCAACTTACGAATGCCAACGTTCGACGGAGAGTGCGGCGACAATGCGTCGATATTTATATCTGAACTCGGAGAATTGCAAATGGTGCAACATGAAACCGTACGTGGAGCGGCTGAAGAGGGAGAATCTGAAGGCGAACGTCGAACCGGTGACGCGAAGACCAGAGATTGACGAGTTGGATATTTTCGACATGTCCTATTACGCCCCAATGCAGGGAGATAGCGCGGCCCCGAGTTTTGGGAAGGGATTCCTTTCTGAACTCTTGGATCGACTGCCGCGGGATACAGATTATAAATAATAAAGTTTTATAGCAACCCGGACTATAAGTTTTTATTTCAATCTAATACCCGATGTTTCAATGCCTTTTATTTGAATAGGTTTCTTTGTCAAAATTTGTAGAAAAACTACGAAAACCAAGTTTCTTTGTAACAATTTCCTTCATAGCTATTCAGTACCTGGAGGACCGGTTTTTTTTTTGGTAAATTATGAATTTTGGAAATAAAAAAAGAAAACTATCTGATATAGAAAAAAAAGTAAAAAAAATAAGTGTCAAATGATCGTGATACAAACCGCGGCCGTCTGTTTAGGGCCGCCCGATTACCGACCGAGCTATTATAACATTTTCTTTTGCGGCGAAATTTACCGTCATATTCGAATGATATTTTTCATTCCCTGAAAACAGGGATAAAAGGACATTTTCTAAAAATGAAACCTAGCTACATCGATTTTTCGATATATATATATACAAGAATTGCTCGTTTAAAGGATAAGATTTCAACAGACTTTAAAATAAGGTGGGATATAGTGTTGGTATAGCATAAGGTTGTCGATTTGTTTGCTTTTAAGAAACACTTCTTTTGACGCGCTTGGAAAAAAATAGAAGCGTTAAATTTTAACGATGCGCGCGCACATCGATAGCCTAAAATGCAACATGATGCGAGTTGGTTGCAAAGCAAGACTTTTTTGGCTTTGGATTATTTGCAGTAGTAAGCTGAGCAAGTAACATCAATGAACAGACTAAATTAAACGCGTTCGGAGTAGTCTGCGCCTCAGATCTCTACAAGCAAATATTTCATATTTGTACCGCGCATACAACAGACGACTAAAGATTTTATTTAGGGGGCTAATAAACAGGTGAAGTCCGGTTGCGGAGCAAGCACAATTTAAAACATATTTACTTAATTGCCGATTCGAATGGAGTAGTGGGCAGTGTACCTATCTCCTGCGCCAGAGGGTGTGGGTTCGATCCCCACTACTGGAAAGATAGTGTGTGATGAACATGGTGTTTTTCTAGTGTCTAGGTATTTATATATGTATAAAATGTATTAATTTACAATATAAAAGTATTTTTATCAGTTATCAAGTAACCATAGTACAAGCGTTGCTTAGTTTGGGACTAGAGAACGTTGTGTAAAAAATGTGTCCTAAATATATATTTATTGTATGTTATTAACATGTATTAAGGAAGAATTTCTTCGGAACTTCCCTTAAAACGGCGGTGCCAACGTGACAGCAATATGCGGGAGCAACAGAGACAGGCGTACGAAATCACGTACGAAATTCTTCCGTTACGCGGCTTTAGTAGAAGTAGCGATCTCCGCGACCTCTAGCACTAAAAGAAGGACTTTCAAAAATTGTGTCTGAAAATATAAATCGTGCAACAATGGCGTACCAGGTCTAAAGGCCAGGCGAGAAGGAATTGCTAAAATATCTGGCTTTACATGCCAAAGGAAACATAAAACTACAGGTTACGTTTTACTGTTAATGTGCTTTTATTACCTACTCTATAATACATGGATGATTGCTTATACTCGTACCTATGTGTAAATGCAATGGAATGTTGTATTTAATTTTTTATCCAACAGACATACAAAACATTAATTAATTTTGTTTTCAGGTATGGGTGCCGCTTTAAACACCAGTCTTATCTAATGGTTACATAAGAAGAATCCAAAGAAATTAATAAAAAAGATAAGCATTTTTTTTAAGTGTATTTAATTTTTTTTTTCACTAAATCAAATCCCACGCTTGATTTGATTCATAAATTAATTTTAATGCAGACGGTCAATTGCGGAATGAAGTGAAAATTCTAATCAATTTCGCTGTCGAAATGATCTTACAAAAGCGCTGTGTGGTAATATTCACAACATTTCTATGGATACATTTTGTCGTTTGTAACTTAGACATAAGAAAGATCGATGATCCGTTTGATGTTCGCATTGCGAAGAAGCTTGTGGACTACCTCGAGGAGAAGATCGAAGTAATACCACGGATAGAAATCAAGGTTGATCAGGAAGATGGTGCAGTTCCAGTGAGTCGTAGTATTGAAGAAAAAGCCGCTGAACCTGAAGTCTACAATCTCAATAAGGCCCGTTATGGAGACCTTAAAAGAATTTTGGTGAAGAGAAAGGTGCCACATGGATTCCTAGCGCCGGAATATGAATACGACTATAAGTATAACACTTACTATAGGCCATTATTCAGGATTCACAAGAGCCGAGAAACAAATACGTTGCCTGAGAACGCTGGTGAGAGCAGTATATATTCCGACAACAAAAATAAACTGGCGTATATAATTATGACGTCTAATGATAGGAAAAGAAAGCGTATCAAGCCGAATTTACACGATTCATCTCCGATACATACTGTTAGCAGAAATCCAAAATCACATGTGAAGAAATCCAAGCAAGCTTTCAAAGACGGAAAGAGTTATCTAGATTTCTTACTGGAATATCTAAGCTCTACGGTATCGGCACCGACCATGCTATCGCGGTACATTAACAAATCGCCCCGCAGTCCGATTTTCGGTGAACAAAGCGATTTCACAAATTCCGTGAGAACAGTTCCAGACCCCGAGGCAACGAAGGAGAAGAAACAAACATGGCTTCCCAAGTATCCGCTATGGAACTTTTGGACTGTGAGTTATTTTCTACTTATCCAATGATTACCGTGCTTCGAAGGGAAGCCGACACTAAAAGCGAAGCACCAATTTGGATATAGATACGCGTAATTTCTAAACAATGCAGGAAACATTAGCATTCTCGCAGACACTGATACGGATAAAGAGGGTATGGATTAAATTCAATTCATCATCATCATCATCATTTCGGCCTGTTTGAGTCCACTGCTGAACATAGGCCTCCCCCATAGACTGCCACGAAGTACGATCCGGAGCCACCTGCATCCATCGACTTCCAGCACATTTGCACAGGTCGTCACTCCATCTAGTGGGGGGTCGTTCTACACTGCGATGGCCAGTGCCATTAGATAACCTTCAATTGGTTGCAGTTATTTGCTCATATCATTTTAAATATTTCAATTAAGTTCCTTCTAAGTTTTCTTAGTCTTTCCAAGACGATCCAATTGCCTATCGAATTGGAATATACACACTTTAATCATTCAAATATCGGGATTTGTCAATTTGATTTTTATTATTCGAATAGTTTGATTAGTTTTTGAGATATACGCAAAAAACCACCAAACCCCCTTTGCCATTGTTGCGAGCGAAACTTAATTTTCTTTTACAAAAATCGTCTATCTCGCGATTCTGAACCGAAAGACGCTTCAATCATATTTTTCCGAGACTGCTGAAAAAAGCACTTGTTGACAACTAAAGGAAACTATGTTTACAGATTTATCGCGTTGATTTTTAGTTTTAGTTTGGAACAATAGACAGCTTTAACGTCACGGCACAGACTATTAGTATGGTTGCCATTTTTAAATACCAAAAAGAAAATGACAAAAAAGAAATTCACACAATAATATGGCATTACTTATAACCTCTAAAAACTTTTCCACCTGCTCGTTCATCAAATTCTCCATAAGAATATCTTGAAATACCGTAAACGTACGATATTGTCACTATTTTACTTTACCGCGTCTACTATTACTTTTTAAATTCGTTACAATCTTTAATCTATGGTATATACAGTCACAGACATATGGAGGGTAGAATAATTAAAATTAAATTATTAAATTAAATTATTCTAAAATTAAATTATTCTAACCTCCATACACAGACATTCAAAGTAAATAAAAAAAAATCAAATAACAGCAACTGTATGTCAATTTTCTTCCACAGTACAAAAAGAGCATATATCAAGACGAATGCCCGGGGCTCCAAATTAATGTTGGAGGTCTTTGTATCAGGGTACCTCCGCACTAGACATCGAAATGTCATCGAGCAACAGTCATCATGCAAACCAAGATGTGATTTAATAATAGTTTAAATCTCTTCATAGTATAATATAAAATAAAGCGCTTCCCGCAGTCTGCCCTTGTTTACGCTTAGATATTTAAAGCAAGCAAAGAATTTTATTGTGCTTTTTTTAAAACTGGACGCTGATTCTAGAGAAAATTTAAAAAGTATAGTTTAATATTCTTTAATATTAATTTGTTGTAATATGAAGGTAATTGTTCACGATGTCTGAAGAAATCAAGCAGATAATTAAAGTAAAATAATTAGAAAATGTATGTAGTAGTGTGTAATGTCATAATGTTAAGTCAGCCATAGCGATCAAGATGCTTTTGATAAAGTTGTAGGACCACACAACAGACTTTGTTGTAGCACGAATGGGCAGGTCCGTCCGTGTGAGTGCCGCGACCTCACAGAAGACTGGCCCACCTAATTAAAAGGTGGCAACATATGTGCAACCCTACGGGTGTTGCAAATGTCCATAGACGGCGGTTATCACTTAACATTAGGTGAATCGCCCCCTCGCTTGACACCTCACATAAAAATGTACCATAAATGTAGTTGGGATAACTAAATGGAATAAGGGCAGAGAAAGAAGACCTTTTGTAGTACTAGAGTCTTTTTAATATCATTAAAATTGTAGCAAGCTACATCAGTTGTTTTTTGAGATTTGTAATTGAGATATAAAGGAAGATGGAAATAAAACAACCGTTGCGTATTGATTTAATGCAGCTCGTAGTTTAATGAGGAATACAAAATCATTCATCTATAACGATAAAATCACATTCGACTATGATTGTTTATATGAAAAAATATACACCTTGTCCTCTACAGCAGAAAAAAAAAAGAAAATCCATAGTCTTCATGCATAGACAAAATGACACAGTGTCTTCTTCTCTTTATTGATGACTTGCTTTGTGAGGTATCACAATTTCGCCAGTGTCAAGTTGCTTTTACAGTTCTCAATTTTATGATATTAACATTAAAATTTGTAATGGACAAAAAAACTTGTGTCAAAAACATGCAACTAACAAAAAGACAGTTGTCAGTTTGACATTTCTGACTTTTTTTTTTGTTTTTAATGTACTTTGTTTTTAGCCCGGTGGCTTTTACAGCTTCGTCAACTGTCAACTCATGGTGTCACCTATCGTCACGTATTTTATTTTTTATGCGTATGGAATGAAAATGTAACTTTATTAACAAAAAGGTAAAAAAAAAACTAACACATAGGGATTAAGTAAAAACTTCGAAAGACTGATGCCGCACTACAAGGCAGATCCGTAGAAATTCGAGTAAGATAGAGAGCTATTTTCTTTCTTTCTTTCTATTCGCTAAACCGAATCACAATGGAACTTACTATATATCTTACCATTTTAAAAATAAAACCATACTCCTATAAAAATAACCTTAATGCTCCACAAATAAAATATGATAGATCCTATTTTAAAACGTCCTGGGGACTTGCCTTAAAATTGCATTGTAAACTTGATTACTACCCTATACTGACCTCAGCGTAATGAGGGGTCTATTGCTGCAGCGTAAAGTTGCTTATCCATGTACCTTGAGTAGGGAAGTAATTATTTGTAACTGGAACGGTCACTGTAAAATAGGCAAAGCCATTCCTATTACGTTAATTTGGAATCGGTTTTACACAGTTTTTTAATCCAAACGTATAGAAGTAGGAATCGAAACTAGTGGCCTAATCTAATCTCACTGAAAACAGAGGTTTATCAAACATTCAGAATTGGGAAATGGGGACTTATGGTCTAAACTAACTGCCACACCAGACAGAGCTATAACGTGGAGTAGAGTAAGTTTTCCGTAGTCTTTATATTTAGGACGAAATTATGGTCTAACCAAACTTCACGCTAAACAGAGCTCTGTTAGCCTGGAGTAGAGTACATTTTCCGTCGTCTGCGAAATGGGAACTAATAGTCTAACCTAACTCCACGCTAAACAGAGCTCTATTGCCGTGGAGTAGAGTGCATTTTCCGTCGTTTTTAAATCAAAACGTAAGTCGGCGCCGTCTCCACGCCGCAGTTGTTGTCCCGCGAGGACATCAGCACGTAGCCGTCGTTGCCCCAGAGGTTGGACCAGGAGTTCTTCACCAGCCAGTACTTCTGGCCGTTGAGGATGCCGTAGCCCACCGCCAGGACGGCGTGGTCCAGCTCGTCTATCTTATTCTTGCTGGAAATCCAGATTCGAAATCAAAATATCTTGTACTGGCTGCTGCTTGTACGTCTGCGTAGAATAGGCTGAAGGCGTAACATTCAGTCAGACAGAAAGACAGATGTACATAACAATATGTATATAAATTATAGCCTATGTCTTATTCTGATAAATAAGCTATATTATTGTAAGTTTCATGAAAATCCATTCAGTAGTATTTGCGTGAAAGAGTAACGAACATCCATCCATACACACAAACTTTCGCGTTTATAATATTAGTAAGGAAGTAAGTATTTACGTGATTACACTTTTACTCGTACTTTATAACTGTGGTAGGGCCACAGTGAAGACTGTTGCACAAATGGACCACGACCTCACAAAAGACCGGCGTAAGGCGAGTGAGGTAGCCGGGGCTCACTATGTTTAGGGTGGCAAACGCATATGCAACCCTACGAGTGTTGCAAATGTCCATGGGCGGCGTTTATCACCCAACAACGGGTGAACCGCCCGCTCGCTTGCCACATTCGCACAAAAAAAGAGAAAATTGTACATTGCATAAAGGACAATGTCCATTTTTGGCTTCGCGTGAACAGAATTCTTAGATAAAAACAATTATACAAAAAAATCTCCCTGAATAAAACAAGAATATTTGTATTTTTCTGTTGTATCGATGCAAACTGATAAAAACATCCAATAATGATTATTTACATTGATTTATATACACAGTCTTGTCGACATTTTAAAATATTACCTTGCCAGTATAAAAATCTCAATCACATCTATGACTATTCGATTTTTTTGTCGATCAAAATAATATTATTATTCTCATTTATTAACTTAGATTTTATTTGCGATAAAAATAATTTATCGAAAGTGCATAACTCACGAAATCATGTGGCCCTGCATTTTTATACATAAATATTTATAAGGAATTAAAGTTAATATAGTATTATTTTCATCAACTTCAATTGCCAATATATTTGAATAAATTGTTCAATGTTTTACTTGTCATTGGCGTAAAGGATAACAAAATGCCAGAATCATAGAAAAAAAAATTGTTCATTGGGTACGATTTTTTATGGCAACATTAGGCAATACTTTTGAGTTGTGACTGTTATTTTGACAAATGTCATTTGCTTTATTCGTAGGTATTATGATTTGTGAATGTATGTTGTCTTGTATCAGCAAAAAATATATTATATTTATATCTTATATGAAAATAATATAACAGACAGGTAGTATAAAACAATATTTTTGCAACTGCATGGTGGGTCGTCGGACAGTGGGTTGCTGTGCCCATATAATGACTTTATTTGGTTTATGAGCTGGGCAAGGTACCAAGAGTCCTCAAATCTATCTGCCCAGTTCTTAGATAACAGTTTATTAACTTATCAATCTGATTAATAAAAAAATATGAAAACTAAATTCGATATTATATATTTTATATTCAAAGCCTTGTTTATAAATGTTTATTAAAAAACTAAGAAACACCTTGACACAAAACTTTATTATTTTTCTAATTCCTTCTGAATAAATCTACTAATTCTACACATCGTTGTTATTCTCAGTGACTGTTCACTCCAAGCCAAAACCCGCATACAAAGTGGACAATGCCCTTTGTTGCTCTAACGTTACTTTTATGTATACTCTTATTTGTGGTGGACAACAAAAGTGTATTCATTCATACATTCATTCATTCATTCATTCATTCATTCATTCATTCATTCATTCATTCATTCATATCAGCCCTTGAGTACCGCCCAAGAAGCTTCTCGCAGCATCCGGCCAAAGTACTCACCATTTCGGCTCGAAGTAGACGCCGTGCGAGTAGAAACTGAAGCTCTTGTGGGAGGCGTCGATCGCGACCGATATGGGGCCGTGTTTGAATATCGCCAGCTGTAGGGTGATAATTTTTATTACTAACGAAAAACTATATAACGTATTCATTTTGTAATCGATTTTCACGAGTTACTTAAGTATCTCCGGAGCCTAAGGTGATGAAGTTTTTTACTAACGAAAAACAAAAGTGACTTCGAATATCTCGCTCTGTATTTATTTTATAATTTTATTTCTGGTGACAAGAGAGCTGGTTCTTTTCTCGCTCAAAGGTTAAGCATAACTATTCAGCGAGGAAATGCAGCTAGCGTTCTTCGCACCATGCCGCGTGGATTAGGTTTATTAGATAATATGTAATTTTAGATAGATTTAATCTTGTAAATATTAGATAAATATAAAAATGTAAAGTAAAAAAAAACTTATGCGTTGAAAAAAAAATTTTTATAATTGATTCCCTACGTATCTCCGGAGCCCAAGATCTCATACCAATGTAATTAATATGGGACCACGTGGGAGGCGTCAATTTTCAATTAAAAAGGAACCATCAAAATCGCTTGACTCAGTCGAAAGTTCTCAGTTAAGAAATATAAAAAAGAAGAAAAATACGGTCGAATTGAGAGCCTCCTTCTTTTTTGAAGTCGGTTGAAAAGAATAACATTTTGAAAAAAAAAAAAAAACTTGCCGAGTGAATTTAAGTGCGGCTATTTTGGCTTTGCCGTTTTTATAGATAACGGTACGGAACCCATCGTGCGCGAGTCCGACTCGCACTTGGCCGGTTTTTACTCACTCGTGCAGCAGCAACAACATTATTAGGTAGGACCCTACAAAATTCACTTACTCTGGCAACATTGGTATAAGGTAGGATCCAACCTTCCACATTCACGAACTAGCAAGACTACTATAAGTAAGAGTTAAGACCCATTTACACGGTGCAAGTTTCTTGCCTGTTGTATACAATTAATTGAAGCAATAAATGAGTTGCATGGTCTAAACAACAAATGGTCTAACAAATTATTGCGCGCAATTTATTGCATTCAATTATTGCTCTTGTATGTACAAGAAAATGGCATCGTGTAAATGGGCCTTTAGTGTTGCCAATATTGTTGTCTGGGGTCCGGTAGCCACACTTACGCGGAGGGCGTTCTCATCGTTTGTCGTCACGTTGACCCATCCCTTGATGGTGGTCACCAGGGTCACGTTGTCCACGTGGCAGTAGCCGTCCTGGAAAGAAGGTTCCGGAACAATAAACACGCGTGTGCGTGCGTATACTTTTATATGCAAGGAGAAAGTTATACTTTAGCAAAGAAACAACTGCCTTAACAAGAGAAAAATAATTATAAATTCGAACCCGTGCGGCCAGTGCTCGTTGTGTGTGAAAACAAGATATTAAACGTAGCTGATGAAGGTTTAATGAAGGAAGAATTTTTAATTACAGGTAAATATCAAAAAGCTGTTATCGACATCATGAAGTTGGGACACCAACCGATAACGTATAACGCCATAAAGCGACAGCTTTGTCCAAAAGACGTGCGTTTCGTTAGGGAAAATTTTCATTTTTACACACATTAAACTTTCATCTTTCTCGATCGATATTCATATTGCTCATATATATGTTTATTCACACCAACGAGTTCGCCATTCACATAACGTCATGACGATAGAATGAATATAGATATTTTAATTCTATAGTAAGAAATGAACACAAGCGTGTGTCCGTTAAAAGTAAATATTCATTATATGTTCAGAGCCGGTTACTGAATAGCGGAACAGCACCGAGCACTGCGACCCGACCCACCTATAGACCTCAAGACCCTTTGAAAACATTGCCCCCTTACTATAGGATAGCATTATCCTGTGTTGTAAGGAAGTTTTACATACATAAACTTCGCGCGGACAAACACCCAGAGCCGAAACAATTATCAATGGGCGATGGCAGTTTCCGAGGTATAATTGACAACACGTTTTTTTATGTGAAAAAGTGAAACCTGATGTCATGTAATTACCGCTCATGGTCATTTGCAACAGCTTTTAACAAAGTGGGCCCCGGCTACCTCACCCAGCATATGAAACGCAGTGTAACGAAGTGTAACGAAGTGTAACACTGCCACTTCACGCCGGTCTTCGGCGAGATCGTGGTAACTTGGTAACACCCGTAACTTCCTTAAAATACGATACAACGGCGGCATGACTAATGCCCGGTCCCTATATTTAACGAACGGCCGTTAGTTACATAGCTTCGTAACTTTCATAACGACTCGTAGATAAAAGGCGTGTACGCCCGGAGCCGTTGCATCACCTGCGGAAAGTGAGTTACTAACGTTCCTTTAATTTACAAGTCGTTATGAAATAATAAATAAATAAATATTTTAGGACACAATTTTACACAATATTCTCTAGTCCCAAACTAAACAACGCTTGTATTATGGGTTACTAGATAACTGATAAACATACTTTTTCTTTTGTAAATAAATACATATTATACATATATAAACAAAGTTACGAAGCTATGTAACAAGCGGCCGTTCGTTGAATATAGGAACCGGCCATAAGCGGCCGAGGTTCGAAGCCCGCACCTGGCCCAGGTAGCCGCCGTAGTCCTCCTCGGTGGGCAGGCCGTGCTTCATGATCCACTGGTAGGCGCGGAAGTCTTCGCCGCCGTCGCACCCGTTGTTGCCGAACCTGCAACGACATCGTTCGATCATTCGTTCTCGTTTATCATTCACCGCGAGCCATTCGTTCTCGTTCATCATTCATCGCGAGCCATTCGTTCTCGTTCATCATTCACCGCGAGCCATTCGTTCTCGTTCATCATTCACCGCGATCGAATAGAACGAAATATCTTTGTCCGGCTCGGAATGGTTTGGAAACCATTCAGTCATTCGTTCTTCCCTTGCTCAATAGGTCAACGTGAATGAGCTATGATCGCACTATCATTCGTTCATCGCTCAGTACATCAGTGATGAAATAGACATATACGGATAGACGAAGGCAGACGCCCGTTTTCGGAAACACTGATCATCGTAGGAGTTAACTAATCAGCTGTCAAATGACTTCTCAAACGTCATTTGAGTTGCCAAAAGGATGGTTAAACCCTTTGAATTGATCATTTTGATCATTAATATAGTTATATATGGTCATGATCCTCATTAGTGAGGGAAGGACGAATAAAAAGAAGAACGATTATTGGCAAGCGAGCAAGTGACATGTGGTGGATAAGTGATGAAATGAGTGCATAAGAGGACAGGTTAATGGCAGCCTCGTACTGACCATCGCAGTGTAGGACGACCCACAAGTAGCTGTGCAAATGTGCGGGAATCCGATGGATGCAGGTGGCGCAGGATCGTGCTTATTGGCGTTCTGTGATGAAGGCTTATGTTCCAAGGTGGACTTCAATCGGCTAATATGATCATGGCGATGAAGACCACAGGGCTGCCACGGACCCTTTCCTTGGCGGGCTGTGGGAGAGGCCTATGTAAGGCGGTGGGGTGAAATGATGATGGTGATGAAGGCGGGGCTGTCACCGACCCCCAGGAGCAGTCGACGAGCGCCTGCTGGCTGAGCCGCACAAGATGGCCGCCGTTGTGCAGGAACAGCGCGCCCTCCACCGCCCCAACAGTGCCGAACGACCAGCACGAGCCGCACACAGACTGGTCTGGAAGCGGTAAGAAAAAAAAATGAACATCCCGTATATGTACCGGTTTCTTGATTTTACGCGATAATTATTAAATTAAACTACGTAACTGATTTTAACACAGACTGGTCTGGAAGCGGTAAGAAAACAAAGTATATGAACACCTGTATATTTATCGTTTTCGTATTTTACGCGATAATTATACGTATGAAATGAAACTAGCTAACTGGTTTTATCGCGTTTTAAGTTTTTATTAATTCCCGACCTATCGAACGCTTTCCGGTGCTCATGGTCTCGAAACAGACTGGGTTGTAACAAATCCTGATGTCAAAGTTAACCCATCAATTTTTTTTTTATTTATTTATTATTTTTTTTTTAATGCGAAAAGTTGTCAAACGAGCAGACGGTTCACCTGATGTTAAGTGAATACCGTCGCCCATGGACATCTGCCACACCAGAGGGTTACAGATGCGTTGACAACCTTTTGAAAATTGGGCTCCGGCCACCTCACTCGCCAGAAGAAACGCGAAAGTATTATACTTCCACTTTACGCTGGTCTTCTGTGAGGTCGTGGTACTTACCCGGACGGGCCTGCCCATTCGTGCAACAGCCGAGGCTGCTGCGTGGCCCTACCACCGTAAAGATTTATTTTTTTTTATTCCGTTCTACGCAAAAGGTGCCAAGGGTCTAGCAGTGTTGGTGTGCTTGGATTTAATTCTATAAATTATGGGATCCTCTTTACGGAGGGCATCAGGGTCGAGTCCACCACGCGGCCCCACTGTGGATTGGCGTACGCATATCTTCGAAATGTTTTTTTTTTGTTATTATTTGGAAAATATGCTGGCTACACCACGATGAGCAAGTGATAATCTATCCGGATAGTAAATATAGGTTAGAAGTTAAACTTTTATACTGCTAATCTCTGCAATAAGGATGAAAAAATAAAATTTGTAGAAAAAACGACACTCGTCGGTGTGGCAATCAGCCGTCGAGCTAAATGGTTAAAGCGTCAGGCCGCGAATGCGGAAGACGTGATTTTTTTTAATAATAATAATAAAATATCTTTATTCACATGACGCTTGCGCGTTCTTGCGAAATTAATATGTTCTTAAGTTACCACCAAGTTTAGAGCTAAAACCAATGCCATGTACCTACAAGTATCAATTTTTATTTAAGCCGATCGTAAACTACGACAATTACAACGACATGAGCTTATGAGAGCTTAACGTTTATTTTGTTTCACGAATTTTTATCATCTTATCCTTTAAACGAGCAATTCTTGTATATAATCGGAATCTCTGAAACGGGTCCAGCGATTTTCATGAAATTTAGTATGTGCGTAGATTCGGGGGCGAAAAATCGATCTAGCTAGGTTTCATTTTTAGAAAATGTCCTTTTATCCCTGTTTTCAGGGAATGAAAAATATATATAATTCGAATATGACGGTAAATTTCGCCGCAAGAGAAAATGTCAAAATAGCTCGGTCGGTAATCGGGCAGCCCCAAAACAGACGGCCGTGGTTCGCGTCACGATCATTTACACATTTATTTTTTTTTTTTTTTTTTTTCGATTCCAGATAAGCTTTCTTTATCTTTTATTTTTTGTCGATTTGTTATTTTGTTATTTTTTTCCCTTTTTTTTTTAAGTTCTTTCTTTTGTGAAAAACATCAGTTCATATTTTCTTATTATTACGTCGGTTAGATCGAAAAATATTACGCATATTTCATTACTCAGTAATTTGTATCTAAATGTAATTTCCAAAACACACGATTCACCAAAAAAAAAAAAAAACCGAGCAAAGCTCCGTCCTCCGGGTACTATAACTCTATACTTATTCTCTCTTTAATTTTTTTACTCTATCCTAATCTTGTATTTTAATTTCGTAAAAGTTTACGTAAAATATTGATAATCGTAAATGTAAGCAAAGGCATCGTCTAGTTCATTAGTAACGGTGCTGTATGTATGAAAATCGCTTCAAGGCCATATATTTTCAGGGATTTCTTTGACCTTACCAGGTGTCGAGTTTAAATTTTCTTTGGGCACATACCTTTGACCGGTGTGACCGCTCCGAACAGCCTCCAGTCGAACTCTGGGGGCAGTTTCACCTTCATCTCCTCCACGTCGGCCTTCCCGTACGGGAACGGGAGACCTGGCGGCGGAGATTGACACGATTGATGGACAAACGTGGATGCAATTAGTACGGACACAGTTGTCCTGTGTATATGTTTTAAATGTGTTATCATGTCCTTTGTTCCTAACGGATCAGACAGAGACAGCTATTACTGCTATCTTTGGATATCTCCCCCTCCCCCTTCCAATTCCATTCTTGGAATCAAATTCTAAATCATTCAGTTCCGTTCATTCGTTCCGACGACCGTACGACTCGCGAATTTCACGCGGAACCGTCTCATTAAGAAAGAGTGTAGGATTTTCGAACTTAAACCACAGAGTAACATCGAAACAGGCAGACGTGGTTGTTTTATGAAAATTTGAAAATCTCGTTCCTGTGATAACGACCGTGACGAGTTGTAATCGAATTCTAAACGATGTCTTCCCATCAGAACATAAAGCAATATTCTTTCCGCCCTACCAGCGTAGGGTTGCTAACATCAAATGCAGAATGATTCAAATGATTGCTTGCAACCTTTATTGAGGCAGGATCATGCCGCCGCTTTTGATCTTGCAACAATGGATCGAATTTGTCCGGGGAAGTACCATGGCCGCACAAAAGTTCCACTTTTATCAATCTCGCGTTTCGTCCGATGAGGGAGAATATTCAAAATGTCTTTATAAAAATAGACGCTTGTACGTTGTTATGAAATTTCGAATTTTATATAAAAATTTATATGCGGCTGCGTAAGTTACAACTCAACAGTTGATCCTTTTTAAAAAGATAGTTTACAATACAACATAGGTATTAAGATTTGTAAGGTGTTGCACGATGTAAAGGACGCACACTAGATGGCGCAAAGCGTTGCCAAAAAAAACAACAGAAAGAACGTAGAAACATGTCGTACATACAATGTGTTAGTGCCACGCAACAATCTTTGCTGTTGCAAGAATGGGAGAGAAGACCGGCGGGAAGTGGAAGAGTTATAGTTTTGCGTTTAGTCTGATGAATGAGTTAGCCGGAGCCCGCTTTATTAAAAGATTGCAACGTCCGCAACACTACGGCTCTAGCTAAAATAAATGCTACATGCAACACTAGCTAAAATCCATGGGCGGCGGTCACAACTTAACATCGTGTGAACCGCCAGATCGCCTGCCTGCTTCTGCAACGTACCGAAGGGGGGCCACTATATTAAAAGGCAACGCATCCGCAACCCTACGGCTCTAGCAAAAGTCCATGGGCGACGGTCACAACTTAACATCGTGTGAACCGCCAGATCGCTTGCCACCTTCTGCAACGTACCGAAGGGGGGCCCACTATATTAAAAGGCAACGCATCCGCAACCCTACGGCTGTTGCAAATGTCCATGGGCGGCGGTCACAACTTAACATCGTGTGAACCGCCAGATCGCTTGCCACCTTCTGCAACGTACCGAAGGGGGGCCCACTATATTAAAAGGCAACGCATCCGCAACCCTACGGCTGTGGCAAATGTCCATGGGCGGCGGTCACCGCTTAAACTCATGTGAACCGCCAGCCCGTTTGCAACCTGCTGCGACATGGCCGTGGCAAATGTCGACGGGTGGCAGTGTTAGCATCAGTGGCCAGCCCGCTTGCCACCGCCTGCAACTCACCGAGGGGGCTGGGTCCCGAGTGGCGGCGGCCGCGCAGCGCTTGCAGCTCGTCGTCGGTGCGGTCGGAAAGATGGTTCACGGCCAGGCTGAAGCCAAGACGCGCCCGGTTGCCAGAGTGGATGAACCTGGGGGGGAAAGTTCGTCAGCAGGCCTTCTTTTTCTGTCGACGTGGGGGAAACGCCCACGCATGCCCGCCCTCGAGGGGGCAACAGCGGGTTATGTCGGACTCGCACCTACTAAAACCGCCACGATGTTCCACCTGGGCGCATATCGGCAGGGCCACGGGGACGGGGATCAGCAGGCGCACTAACGACAGATTCGAGTTCCGAATCAATCGAGATTACGGTGGCAGGGCCACGCAGCAGCCTCGGCTGTTGCACGAATGGGCAGGCCCGTCCCGGTGAGTACCACGACCGCGCAGAAGACCGGCGTCAAGTTGAAGTGTAACACTTTCGCGTTTCGTCTGGTGAGTGTGGTAGCCGGAGCACAATTTTCAAAAGGTTGTCGACGCATCCGCAAACCCTCGGGTGTGGCGGATGTCCATGGGTGGCGGTATTCACTTAACATCGGGTGAACCGCCTGCTCCCTTGGCAACTTTTCACATAAAAAAAATTCAGAGGAACAGTACAGCCAACGGCCATCGGGGTCACAACGTTCCTTAGTTAACGCACACATGAGTACATACGTGGCCCTACCCACTGCGGAGGGCCTCAAACCCGTGGGTTCTTGCGCTCGTAGAAGCTTTAATAGTCTAAGGAGTGAAAGCGTTACCAACAGTTAACACATGATACAGGATACTAGTCGGAAGGGCCGAAGTCGTTTCCCTGTACACATGTCAACTAATAAACTGACGCACCCAAAATAATAACTGTGAGCAATTTCAGACGTTTTGACCGAGATACCTTACCCTAATGGAAAGGCCCGAAAAGTCGTTTCTCAATCGGCGTACGCTAATAGAACATGGTAGTTGCATGTTCGTACAGCAAAAAAAACAACAGCGTATACACATCCCACTGCTGGGCAAAGGTCTCCTCTGTACAGAGGGTGTCAGGGCCTAGTCCACCTCGCGGCCCCACTGCGGATTGGCGGACTTCACGTATCTTCGAAATATTTTTTTTTGTTATTATTTCGAAGATATGCAGGTTTCCTCGCGATGTTTTCCTTCACCGCGGAGCACGTGATAAGTGAGCACTTAAAGTTAAAAACTTCATTGGTGCCAGCACCGGGGATCGAACTCAGGTTGCTCGAGTATATTGAATTAAAGGCGAGCGCCCGGACACTGAGCTATCACGTAACTTATATCTTAAAATTTAATTTAAAAATTTTATAATACGAAATAATTCCTACCTGAGATTCTGTCTGAATATGTTGAGACGCTTGGCGTGTTCCACTTCGCTGGCGTACTGCTTGTTGTGTTTAGTCTTGAATCTGCAATAAAAAAATACATGTGTTAAGGGTTCCGTGGTCTAAGGGTAAAACGGGACCCTATTACTAAAACTCCGCTGTCTCTCTGTCTGTCTTTCCGGCCGTCTGTCACCAGGCTCTATCTCATGAACCGTGATAGATTCAGCTAAAATTTTCACATATGATGTATTTCTGTTGCCGCTATAACAACACTAAAAAACAGAATAAAAAATTATTTAAGTTGGGCTCGAAGGGAGATCCCATATAAGAGACATGATTTTTTTGCTGTTTTTATAGAAACGGCACAGAACCCTTCGAGCGCAAGTCCGACTCGTACTGGGCCGTTTTATAAGGTGCGGTGAGATTTTTATCATATTTTGTGAGTCCCTACGTCCGCTGCGACGTAGATCTATTGTGGTCTTGGTCTTACCTTCGAAAACATTGCTCGCAAACCTTTTGCTGTGATGGGATAACACCATCCTGTGTTGTAAGGGCGTTTACATACAAACCTACACCTACATACCAAAATTCACGTGGACAAACACCCGGATTCGACATGCACATAGTTACCACGTGTGGGAATCGAACCCACGAAAAATATGTCCTGAAATATTTATTACACATACAGTGGCGCAAGAGATAGGTGCGCCATCCACTGCGCCAGTGGGGTATTCATAAATGGATCTCTCGCCTTGCGAACTCCTCGTGGACGTGGTCTTCTTGGACTGGGTGCACGAACTCCTTCATCGGGTTGAAGGTGGCCAGGTGGCGGGACCCAGGGCCCGGGAAGGAGGTGCACTGCATACCTGAAAGATGATGGGCAGAATCAGACAGACGCTCGCGACATGAACAATAGTTATTTGAACAATTTAAGTTATAAGATAAGTACCACCTGACAGACGTGGAAGTGTCATACTTCTGCGTTTCGTATGGTGAGTGAGGTAGCCGGGGCACGCTTTATTAAAAGGTGGCAACACTATGGGTGTCACAAATGTCAATGGGAGGCGGTTATCATTTAACATTAGGCGAACCGTCAGCTCGTTTGCCATCTTCTCACAAAAAAAAAGATAAAATGTGTAGATGAATTGGCGAAGAGTTCATGAATAAAGTTCGTTCAGGGGGTAGCCAGCTTGCCCAGCAGTGGGTTGGTAACTTAATTTTCAGTTCACACGCCTGATAGGAGATTGGCAAAATCGGAAAGACGGTCGAGTCATGAACAACTACTTTGTAATCATCAAATGTGTAAAAATTTGTAGAAAAAGGGACGAAAAGCTCGTCACAAAAAGGATTTCAACCGGAGTACTCCGGGATAATCGGCCTACTCCCTGAGCTAAACGGCTCATCTTCTCTTTAATTCAAGAACAAACATCACAGTCTTTTTCCTTTCCTTTTACTTCCGGCATTTTCCTTCTAATAATGTGCTGTGATTAAATTTTTTCTCTCTTTTAATTCAATATACTCGAGCAACTTGAGGTCGATCCCCGGTACCGGTGCATGACCTCCTCTACAGAGGTCTTCGCCCAGCAGTGAGACATATATAGGCTGTTACTTTACTTTACTACCAGCCTGACACAACATCTAGTATTTTATTTGGTCGCTTTAGTGTTTCATCTTTCCTTTTAACTTTAAACAATATTGAAGTGCAATCCGCAAACAAAAGATTTGTGACCTTTTTTCTACCACATTCACATTTTCTACTAAAAACAACAATGGACCCAGAATCGATCCCTGAGGAACACTCATTTGTACTATTGATCTCGAAGCGTAGCCGTTATTAGGGTATTTTTGGAGAATGTAAAAAAACACTTTTGATTCAAGAAGAGCTTTAGCTTCATTTTCTTCTATACTCACTCTTGTCTATGACGAACACATCCGGATCGATATCGTCGACGTCGTAGTCACTGTAGTCGATGTAGTAGTGGTCGTAATGGGAGCCGAGGAGAGAGTTGAATCCCTTCATTTCGTACCTGCAACAAAGCTTGGTTGTTAGAGGATTGTTTCACGGACAAATAAAGAGAATGATGCAAGATTACTAAATCATCCTTAAACTCGATAGGTAATCTATATCGTTGTTTTTTTTTTAAATATTTAACTTCAATGAGCTATTTATCCTGAACTTTTGTCTAAGATTGTTGTCTAAATTATTGTACCAGAATGATATAAGCAGAATGTCCCTCAGTTCAGTGTGGCTCTTGGCTTACGCCTCCCCTATCTTCACATACATCTTCTATTATTTTCTGTCTCTTGCAAATTGTCCTTTTGACTACCTGGAATTATCCCCATTAAGTAACTGTGGTAGGGCCACGCAACAGTTTTCGCTTTTTTCGCTTTTTCGAATGGCAGGTACGTACGAGGAGGCCCTACGACCTCACAGAAGACCGGTGCGAAGTGGAAGTGTCACCCTTCTGCGTTTCTTCTGGTGAGTGAGGTAGCCGGAGCCCACTTTATTGTAAGGTGGCAACGCATCTGCTACCCTACGGGTGTTGCAAATGTCCATGGGCGGTGATTATTACTTAACATCAGGTTATCCGCCAGCTCACTTGCCACCTTCTCAGATAAAAAACCCGAGAACGGCCACCCAGTGCAATCAGAGCACGCGAAAGAGGTTCGTTGAGCAGAATGAAACCTCGTTACAAGACTGAACCGAATCACGTGGAAGACTCTAGGAAGTGTGAGACTCACCTGATATCCTCCACATCTTCCGTGGGAGTCACCTGAAATCTTCCACGTCTTCCAAGTCTTCTATGGGACTCACCTGACATCTTCCACGTCTTCCAGGACTTCTATGGGACTCACCTATCGTCTTTCACCTGTTCCAGGCCTTCTACGGGCCTCGACCGACGTCTTCGACCTGTTCCAGGTCTTACCTGATGGGAATCGGCACGGGATCACCGCGGAGGCTCTTCCTGTACTTGACCCACGCGGTGTACTTGTTGATCTTGTCGCCGATGGTCTGCACCATACGCCACTTGGTGGTGTCGGAGTCGCGCATCCTCTCCGTGCCTTGATGGACAAGGAATTCGTTTCTTTACACCCACGTCGTTATGTTACCGTGGTGGGGCCACGGGATAGTTTCCGCTGTTGCACGAATGGGCAGCCCCGTCCGGGGACGTACCACGACCTCGCAGAGGACAGGAGTGAAGTGAAAGTATTAAACATTCGCGTTTCGTCTGGTGAGTGGGTGACACTTGTTCGATTTATAAATTAGCCTATGTGTAATTCTGATGTATCCTTACTAATCCTTACTTAATAATTATAAACGCGAAAGTTTGTATGTATGGATGGATGTTTGTTACTGTTACGCAAATATTAATGAATGGATTTTAATGAAACTTTACAATAATATAGCTTATACATAAGAATAACACATAGGTTATAATTTATATGTATACATATTTTTATGTATAAGTGTCTTTCTGTCTGAATGTTACTCCTTCAGCCTATTCTACGCTGACGTAGTCGCGGGCAGCAGCTAGTAAACTATATCATTGTAAAGTATCATTAAAATCCATTCAATAGTTTTTGGGTGAAAGAGTAACAAACATCTATAATACAACATATTAGTATTTATTTATTATCTACTAGCTTTTCGCCCGCGGCTTCGCTCGCGGTGAAACCCTTAAATAAATATCTATTTATTCTCGTACAAACTCACCGATGAACTTGAAGTCCGTCATGTCGGGCAGCACCGACTGGATGCTGATCTCCTGACCCTCGGTGCCGTTGACCTGGAGGCAGGTCTCCCTGTTCAGCTGCTTCTCGGTGGTCACCGGCGCTATCTGTGGAGTTGGAGTGTTACTTAGTTTGCGACTAGAGAATTTTATGTAAAGATGTGACCTGAAAATCAATCAAAAACACTCACCTTGATGGATGTACCGTATTTGGGGTAGACAGGAGACGAGAGCTGGTACGTCCGGACCATCGTACCGTAATAGTCGATGCGGGACTTGCCATTCTTGCTGTCGAACCTAGAAATAACAACGGCGTGATGATAAAATGTATCGAAACACTTTCAATATAATATTTAATCCATTTAATTATTTAAATTTTACGCAAATCTTCTCAATAAATGTAAAGTGATAGCCTATATATGTCCACCTACTGGGCACACGTCTCTGACTCTCTGTACAAAGTGTATTAGGGCATACCACCACTGCGGATTGACGAACTGCACATATCTTCAAAATATTTTTTTTTGTAATTATTTTGAACATACTAAGAAAGTCTAATAGAATTCGCAAAAGAAATCGGTCCGAAATTATTTTTAAAGAGGACAAGAAATGTTGTTAATTGGAACGTAATTTATTGACGCCATCAAAAATTATGCTCTCCTCGGTGAAGTCCTGCATACATCTTAAAGTTATAACATTCAGTTATGTTTCAAGCATTTCAAGCTTCCAGACGAAAATTCTAAAAAGGTTCAGTAACGTAGTCATCATATTACTAGACACTTCGCTTAAATTTTACGTTTATTTCAATCACGGACAAGACGATTTAATTTTATTATTGGTATAGACAAAAACATAAAAAAATTAAAGCCGTGATAGCTTAGCATCCGGGCGCTCGCCTTTAATTCAATATACTGGAGCAACCTGAGTTCGATCCCCGATGCCGGCACCAATGAAATTGTTAATTTCAAGTGCCGAATTAACAATCCGCAGTGGGGCCGCGTGGTGGACTATGCCCCGATACCCTCTGTACAGAGGAGGCCTTTGCCCAGCAGTGGGACATGTATAGGCTGATACTTTACTTTTTGTACTTTTATAGACAAATTTAATGAATTTGAAACTTTAAGGCGAGTGATATACGTTGTTAGACATAGGAATATGATAACAATTACAATTGTATTCAAATTGTTCTCCGTCTTATTCAAGAACCGAGTCATAGCTAACAACTAACCACACATCCGTGTCAATATCGTTTACGAAACAATGCAATATCTGACACACGAAACTGAATCACAAAGCACATACACGATAAGTCGTTCACCTTAACACTATTATACGACTCCGTGGCGCAGTTGCCAAGGTATTGGCTTCGGCGTCGGGGGTCGTGGGTTCGATTCCCACACGGGACAACTATTTATGCGACCCACAGATAGATGTTTCGCATCTGGGTGTTTGTCCTCGTGAAATTTATGTTTTTAAAACGTCCTTACGACACAGGGTAATGTTATCCTAGAGTGGGGGCAACGTTTTAAAAAAAAAAAACCGATAACAAAATTGTGAGATATGCTCCAGTTTCTCGAATTTATATCTATACATATCTATACAGATAAATAAAATTGGAGTGTCTGTTTGTAATATTAAAATAACTGCTTTTTACTAAATGCATATGGATGTATACACGGTACATATATCAAAATAACATTTTTAGAATTTTTTTTAATTTAAAATTGCACGCGAACGAAGTCGCTTGCAATTTAAGTATATATATATATATATATATATATATATATATATATATATATAAAAATAGGCCAATGCAACATTTACAGAAATAATATAGAAGAGGGACTTCAGGGAGAATGGTGTACAGAGTGGCGTGCCCAGGAATTGCAGACAGGAGAGAACTTAACAACTAATTGACGATAACAATTAAATGATATCCAACGTGGCCTTTGAAAAGGCTGTGAGATTTTTTATTTATGTGAGAAGGTGGAAACGGCTCGTGACCGATTCTCCCTTAAAGTTTTTCAATACAGGCGCGACCTTCAGTAATGAAGACCACGAAAAGGAAGAAGAAGAGAAGAGAGCTGGCGGTTCACCTGATGTAACTGCAACACCCGTAGGGTTGCAGATGCGTTGCCACCTTTTAACTAACTGGGCCCCGGCTACCTCACTCACCACCTTTCGGAAAGGACATTTGCATGCCGAAAGGTTGGCAACGCTTCCAGTTTAACTACAGGTCAGGTTGTCCAGGGGATTGGTAAACGATCAGGGGCTTTCCCCGATCGTTTGTCACATTCAAGCATAGGTGGAGCCACAAACCCGTGAGTTTGTGGGTGCTTTAAAACTCAAATTAACCCCGTTTCACCTCCTCACAAAACACGATAACTTGTAAACGAAAAACAACCAGATTATTCCACAAAGCCGTCGATGCAGTAATAATATCTAACAACAACAGACAAGCGAAAATAATGTCATGATTGACTTGGATTTATTTATATTGATCCATCAATCCTTTGTATTGGGTCAACGCTATCGCGGGGTCAATGAGATAGCGTTGCCGTATAATAAATAGTATATCTTTGGTTGGTCTATGAACTTTAAACGTAATGTGTGTGGCTGGCGATACGCCGGAGCCAATGGATATGTTAGTCCGGAGTATAGAGACATTTTAAGGGACATATTATAAGTCGTTCCGCTGTCTGTCCCTATGTATGCTTAGTTTAAAACTACGCAACGGATCTTGATACGGTTTTTTTTTACTAGATAAAGTAATACAAGAGGAAGGTTTATATGTATAATACATTGCACCCGTGCGAAGCCGAGGCGGTTCGTTAGTAAGGGATATATCTACATATACATGGTGCAATGAGGTCATTGTAATGTACCATCCAATACAGATTCTTAAGTGAATGCAAAATTCAAACGCAAAATATCCTTTATTCAAATAGACGCTTGCGCGTTCTTATGAAACGTCGAATTTTACTTTATGTAAAATTAATACACAAGTTCGTAAGTTACCTCCGGTTTCTGTTGAGAAGAGACCGGCAAGAAATTCAACACTTGTTCTTTTTAAAAATATCAGTTTACAATATAATATGGTACAGGTATAATAGTCGTTATTTTAGCTTACGTGGCGAGCCATACTTGTTATTTAGCTCTAAAAAAATTGTAAAGAACTCGGTGTTATTGTACTTTAAAAGAATCAAAATCGGTGACGTTTATTAGGCATAAAAGCAAAAGAAGATAGATTCAGATTCATAAATGAATATTGAAGAACAGAGTTTTAGCCTTTTCTAATGATGTAACATAGAAAGAAAGCTTAGCTATATAGAATTACAATAGGAAAAAATATGACTGACTTTAACGCCTACCCCGGATTTGTCTCTGTCCAACCTAGTATAACGTAACTAACATAAAATTTTTGAATATAATCTAAAACATATTATACAAAAGAGTTTTAAAGCCATTCATAGAGATCCACACTTATCTCATTTAACGGGATTGGTTTACTCGAGCATTTTTTCATAGAAACCTGGAAAATTACACTTATGTTGGAATCTTTATCGATCTCGTGATAACCGTCCTTGGGAACAACTCGCGCAGGAATCGAACCCACCACCCAGGTGACGAAGTCACTAGCTTAGCAACTGCACAACCATGTCATCGCGGGCTCTATTAAAGAAATATATCTTTGACAGTAGTTAACAATGTCTCTTTACATACATATGTTTTTAATTTAACTGATAACCACGAATAACCAATACAGCTGAGTAAATATGCGATATAAATAAATTTTAACTTGTTATAACAAACCATTTTCACATTGCACAAAACATGCTATTTTAATCTAATATATAAAATTCTCGTGTCACGGTGTTTGTAAGTGAACTTCTCCGAAACGGCTCAACCGATTTTCGTGAATCTTAGCGTGCATATCGGCCAGGGTTGAGAATCGGACAACATCTATTTTTCATCCCGCTAAATGTTAAGGGTGGTCCACCCCAAATTTTTTTTATATAAAATTTATTGCTTTTATTTTTTTATGATACAGCATACAAAAATACAGACAAACCTAAATTTTTACCTCTCTACGCAGACGTAGTCGCGGGCAGCAGCTAGTCTAATATATAAAATTCTCGTGTCACGATGTTTGTAATTGAACTCCTCCGAAACGGCTCGACCGAGTTTCGTGAATTTTTGTGTGCATATCGGTCTGGGTGAAGAATCGGACAACATCTATTTTTCATCCCCCTTAATGTTAAGGGTGATCCACTCCAAAATTTTTTTATTATTTTTTATCTAAATTTTTCTGTTTTTATTTTTTTATGATACAGCATACAAAATACATACAACGCTAAATTTTCACCCCTCTACGCAGACGTAGTCGCGTGGAGCAGCTAGTAACCTATATTATTTAACATTGAATTTTTTTGCATACAAAAATATTTTTACTTTAAAAAATAATTGCTTCTGCGAATGAACACTAAATCGTTGGTAAAAATTGTTCCTTTAAATGGACATTTTACAAACATTAATTTCACGTGGACAAACACCCAGTTGCGAAACAACTATCTGTGGGTCACACAAATAGTTATCCCGTGTGGGAATCGAACCCACGACCCCCGACGCCGAAGCTATATACCTTTGCCACTGCGCCACGAAGTCATCAAGTATTATGAAATGTACATCAATTATTGGCTGACTCAGTTTTATGCAAATAGGTTAAAATTATAAACAATTCCACACTTTTGTCTTCACAAATGTTGCAACTTTACAATTAATATATTGGAATATGATGAATCAGTTAATATTATTTCGCTATACACTTCTTAATAAAAACTGGAGCAAGCCACAATATAAGGAGGTACTTCCTATTGTTACTACTCGCCATAGTTTCGAAGACAACACCAATTTTCACATATTTAGTACACAAAATGTCTCCAGTATGATGAATCACAACTTTTACGACGTTGCTGACCCAACATTCATTTACAGTAGGAAAGTTGTATAAAGTAGTTATAACTAAATGGACAACTTACTACATATACATATACATATGTGTATAACTTTTTATATATGTTGTGTTTTTGCAACCAAATGGAATATGCGACATTGTCGTGTGAAATGTCTAATAAAGGTGTAAACTTGTATAGTATTTTTCTTTTGTATTAATAATGGAAAAAAAAATAATTCAACAACAATCCATTTGTCATTGGATTCAAGCAGTCATGATCTCGTTAATATCTTCAAGTAATGGGAATTCTACACATACATATTGTTTAAAATATGTATGTAGATAGTATTTACTACGTCTACGGAAAATTTAATATCAAACTTTCCCTTAACAAAACAAATATAATTGAATAAGAAATGGTAGATTAAAGCATAAATATGAAAGACTCTGGTTTTTGAGATTTTTAATGTACAAATAAAATTATTAGGTACAATATAGGCTTTTTCAGTAAATAGTAGAAGTTTTATAGGCTTTCTCAGTAAATGAAGGAATAATTATCATGCGAACAATAGCCAAAAATTTGTCTGCCTACTCAATTATGTAGAGGGCTAGAATAGAGCCATATTTTTTATTCACTGTCAAATATTTTTAAATGATATAGAAACATTGAAACAAAACATGTTAGTTGCAATAAGAAAATCCGCGAATATATTATATACACCATTTATTTTATGCAAATATTTTTGCTTTGTTGGAGAATACAGTGATACAGGATACTTTGTCATTGTCATTTATAAATTAAGATAAATTTGATTGAACATTATTACATACTGATAAGTGATAGTGAGGTTCTTAATGTGTACATTTATGTATTTATTAAGGAGCCCCACTGACATTACTAAGTGCAAGAATTAATTTCTTGTTTCTCGAAATAAATGTCGGCTACAATTTTTATGTCGTAATTATTGTTTCATTTATGTTTCTCTATCAATTAAAAATATTTACGAAATATACAAAACTGAGCATGCTGCTAATTTCGCACAGAATGTCATCTATTTTTCTATGTGCAAATAGCAACTTTTAATAATTTTTTTATGTTAAAAGTAGACATAACCCATTATTTTTACTTTTTTATTCTAATTTCAGTTATGTTGCTTTATCATTTAAAAATATTTGTGAAATAGAACATATCAATAATGTACTTGTGTATCTCTCAACTCTCAAATCTTACATTAAAGGAAAAGGATTTATTTATAAAAATGATTTACTTATTTGCATGTAGCACTGATAAAAGAATGTTAAGTCTCAGTTCAGAAATTGTTTAAACTAGATATTAGTTACAAATTTCTGATGCACTTCTCAAATAAGCAATTCATAGTTAAAAATTGGAGAATACAATAAAAATTATTTTAATCTTTTGTTTAAAACTGATAGACTTGGCTTTGACTTAGATATTGGTAGATAACTTAGAAAATTTGAAAACTTGTAAAGTATTAATCTAAAAATCTCTACCTTACTAAACAAAAATATATACACAAAAGACGGACCACTCAAAATATTATAATAAATGAACACTAACTTGAATAAAACATAAAATTATCCATGTTAAACTGATATACTTTACAAACAGTTTAAAATTGTTAGTGCTTCTGTGGCTAGCAGATTTGCCTACCTACTTAATACTATATTATATGTGGGATCCCCACATAGAAATAGTCAAAAAACTTACCAAGCATAAAATGGTTCTTGCAATTCTGCATAAGGTATAGTCAGAAGACCTTTGATGTTATATACAGGACTCCATTGTGGAGGCTTTTCTGAAACCAAAAATAAGCTAGACTTAATTACATGTACTAAACAGATAGGGGTTTTCCACTTTTTAGAAACTATAGTAATATTAAGTTTCTAAATAATTACCACTATAAAAATTAAACAAAATACGAGCATAGATTTCTTTCGCGGTTATTCCATAATTTACATCGTCACGATACAACGAGTGCGAATAAAAATTACATTTTACATAGCACAAAGTATCAAATCTAAAATAAACTTACGTTTATCCACATAACCCAGTGCGGTGCCTATGAAAAGGCAAAAGAGCAATTCGAAAAACATTCTGCACGTGCGACTACCTTCGCAGGCCTGTACAGAATGAACATAAATAATTTTAAACTACTAAACAACAAAAAAGATATGTCGGTGCAAAACACGAAAGAATTCAGAACACCTGCTGCTTAATCACTTTCGTGAAATCGTACAGACATATGTATTTGAACAATGTTAAAAAATTCTAAGTAGGGTATTTGGTACTTTGAAAAGAAACAGTTTTGTATTTTTAATTCTGTTATCTTTCAATGACATTGACAACAATATCTAGTTGTGTTAGTTGTCAGTTTTAATGTAATGTCATATTCTATTGGTAAGGACTCTATTAGTGTATTTCAAAAATCTGTCAAGTGCGAGTCAGACTCGCGTACGAAGGGTTCCGTACCATTCTCTATTAAAACGGCAAAAGAATCATGTCAAATTGTCAATGTTGTATGGGAGCCCCCTTAAAGATTTTTTATTTTATTCTGTTTTTTAGCATTTGTTATTATAGCGGTAACAGAATACGTCATCTGTGAAAATTTGAACTGTCTAACTTTCACGGTTCATGCGATAAAACGGTTGTTTTACCACCTGGTGACCGATGGACAGACAGACAGACAAGTCTTAGTAATAGGGTCCTAGTTTACCGTAAATACTGTGGACTTTTTTATTTTTGCATATAGGAACTGCAATAGATTGATTTTTTTTAGACGTTCGGTTGAGTCAGGACAAAGCGGGTGGAGCAGATAATAAGATTGAAATCGCTTTTTAATCACGAGACAAACTACGTAGAACGATCGGTTACGAAAACATTATATCACGGAAGCACTGGAATTACCAAAACAATAATTAAACAATTAATACAAGAACACAAAATTACAAGAAACTAAAATAATGAATATAAGACACTGGTGCAGTTTGTAAACTCTTTATTTTCATCAACATAGAGCTTACTGGCATATGCCTTACAAAATTTACTTAGTACAACTTCGATAAAATAGTGAGAGTCGCGGAGCAATACGATGCACACGTCCTTCTGATACGACGCGTGCGCACCGAATGGCGACGGCGGGCCCCCGGCAGGGCCTCCTGCCGGGCGGCGGGGACTCAAGGCCACGCGCCCCGAGCGGCCAACGCCTACCTAACATTATAAAACCCCCGCGCGTTACACTCTCCCCCTCTAACCCGAACGATGCGCCCCCGCGATCGGGTTAGCTTTACGCGGTCGCCCTCTTTTACGTTTTTCCTGGACAGGAGCTTGGATACGGCCAACGAAGGGAGTCATTGCAGAAACGTGAAACTTCCCTAATAACACGCTATCACTAACCCGCTCTAATTCATACGTCGTCGCGCTGAGCACCTTCCTAACTCGATAAGGACCGTCGCGTCGCGGAATGAACTTAGGCGTCTGTCCCTTGCCCGCATCATTGGGTCCTCGCGTCTTGAGCAGCACCAGGTCTTCCACTTGATAATCGGGAGCTGGTCGGCGGTTCTCATCGGCGTACTTCTTCTGCATCGCCTGTGCTTTCTCTTTCTCAGATAAGGCGTTATATTGGTTATAAAGCTATCGTTATCAATTATTGTTTGCATCTCCGATTGAACATCGGCCGGCGCTCGTATTTCACGTCCAAAGTTCAGATAAGCTGGTGAATAACCCGTACCTGAGGTAATTGCGGAATTCATAGCGAAACGGATCGCTGGTAGATGAATATCCCAAGTTGTATGGTCTCTTCCCACGAGAATGGCGAGTTGTGGCTTCAAGTCTCGATTTTTCCTCTCCACAGGGTTAGCCTCCGGGTGATAATACGACGTTAGAGCTTGGGTATTACCCATAACATGACAGGTTTTTTGCATCACCGGCACTCCAAACCGTAGAAACACTTCTGAAACTAAAACCTTCGCGCATTCCTCGCTAGTGGCGGATGCGAGCGCGAATAACTCAACCCATCGGGTACAGGTGTCTTCTACTATCAAGATCCACTTGTTACCGTTCGCGGTCTGTGAAAGGGAACCGAATAAATCCACAGCCAAGGATTCGAAACGGCGCGCTGAAACTGGTGTTTGTAATAACCCAGCAGGCTTTCTTGTATCCTTATACCTTATACTTCTGACACGGCGCACAATTCTTAATATAATTCGAAATATAAGCCCGCATTTCTGGCCAATAATACTTGCCAGCGATTCGTAGTAGTGTGCGTTCTACGCCGAAATGACCGGCCGTGGGTGCATCGTGATAACATCTTTCCGTTCCTGTTCTGGCACTACTAGACTCGCGTCATCGGAATCTCCATTTTCGGGACCGTAACGGAAAAGAATACCGTCATTAAGTACGTAACCTTTGTCAGCCCACGCCTTTCCTCTCGATATATCATCAGACTCCATTGCCTCGATGATCTTGAGTACTTCAGGATCCGCCACCTGACCCTCTCGAACGTCTTTGGGGCTGCGTGAAGGCATGTCGACCACAGCTAAACAGTGATCGCAACCTGTGTCTCCTGTACACGCTGGACGCGACAGAGTGTCTGCTATAACGTTACTTCTACCAGGAGTATATTCAATCTTCAGGTCATACTCTTGTAGGCAGAGAGCCCACCTTGCCAGGCGACCACTTGGGCTTTTCATGCTCATGAGCCATCTAAGCGGCTGGTAGTCCGATCTAACCACTACCTCAGCTCCGTCAATATAGCCACGAAATTTGGAAACAGCCCACACTACGGCTAGAGCTTCCCTCTCCGTCGTGCTGTAGTTCCGTTCTGCGGGAGTAAGCAGGCGGCTGGCGTACTCGACGGGACGTTCATCATTTCCCTCCCCCTGGAGTAGAGCCGCGCCCAGGGCATAGCCACTGCTATCAGTTCGAAGGACGAAAGGTTTCGTCTCGTCGGCTTGACGCAATATTGGTGCCGAAACGAGAAGGGACTTTATGTGCTCAAAAGCTTTCTGTTGTTCGGGCCCCCACTGCCAAACACTTGCCTTCTTTAATAGCAATGTCAGCGGCTTAGCGACCTCCGAATAATTAGGGACAAAACGTCTGAACCAGCTGGAGGTCTGTAAGAAACACTTGAGGTGCTTAACATTTTCAGGGGTGGACATGTTTGCAATAGCAGAAGTCTTCTCGCGGTCTACGTGTATACCGCCTGGTACGATCACATGTCCCAAGAATTTCACCGACCTCCTAGCGAAATGGGACTTCTCGCGATTCACTCGTAGTTTAAACATCGCCAGACGATCAAATACGGCAATAAGTGCTTCTCGAACGAACCCTCAGATAAAATCAGTAAATCGTCCAAGTAAGCTACTATAAGAACGCCAGGCAAGTTGGATTTGAATCGATCAATCAACCTCTGGAATGTGGCTCCAGAATTTCGGAGGCCCATGGCCATTCTTTTAAACCTGTATGTCCCTTGGGGCGTGATGAAGGCCGTTTTATCTCTGTCGTCGGGATCCACGCTGACCTGGAAATAACCTGAACGAAGATCACAAGACGTCATGAATCTTGAAGTTTTAGCGGCGTGGAGGACGTCTTCAATCCTAGGGAGCGGGTAGCGGTCAGGCTCGGTGACCGCGTTGAGTTTGCGATAATCAACGCAAAGTCTATAACAGCCGTCCTTCTTCTTGACCAAGAGAACATTTGAGGTCCGTGGTGATTCGCACTCCTCGATGACATCGGCATCGAGCAACCTTTGTAGCTCGGTTTCAAGTGCTTCCCTCTTCGGCGGGGATAATCTATAGGGTGGAGACGCCAGAGGCTCCTGGTTTTCACTTACCCTAATTTTATGCGTGGTGAATTCCGTAGGAGGTCCTTCAGTGGCGAACTGGTCCTTTTTCTCCCTCGCAGAAATTTGTTGAATGTGGCCCTCTGATCCGATGACAACTCCGTGCCTTCATTTTCACGCAGGGAGACGTCCGAGACATCTACTCGCATCAACTCGCTGTTTAAAACAAACGACTTCGCGAAAGGCAACTTCTTATCCGGATCATCTGAAAAAAAGTATGACTCCTGGCCTGTGTCCAACACCATCCCAGCCCTAGCGATGAAATCGCGTCCTAATAACGTACGGGTGTTGTCCCCGGGAAACACCATGAACTCCGTAATAATTTCTTTATCCCCTAATTTAACTGGTACGATACCAGTTGCCACGATCCTACTCTGACCTGAACCGTCCGCGAGTCTAATTGTGCGTTCCGTATTTATTATTTGAATTTATATGAATTAATTATTGGATATTAAAATTAAATAAGCGATGATTAAACTATGTGAACTGATCAGAATGATCTTCTTAATTGAACATTAATGATCGATACGAATGATCAATTCAAAGAGTTTAACCATCCTTTTGGCAACTCAAATGAAATTTAAAAGCCATTTGACAGCTGATCTATGTCTACAATGATCAGTGTTTCAGAAACCGGGCGTTAATCTACCTTTATAATTTCAAGAGCACGTACTACGTCACTCCTACTCTTGTTAACTTACTTTTTTTTATGGAGAAAAGAGGCAAACGAGCAGGAGGCTCACCTCATGGTAAGTGATTACCGCCGCCCATAAACACCTGCAACACCAGAGGGCTTACAAATGCGTTGCCATCTTTTTAGAAAAGAGTATGCTCTCTTCTTGAAGGTTCCCAGGTCGTAACGGTTCGGAAAGACCGTCGGCGGCAGCTGGGTCCAGAGTGGTTGTGTGAGGCAGAAAATTCCTTGAAAATAAAAACTTAAAATTTATTTTAAACTTTAAATAAATAAATTACTATTTATTTATTTAATAATAAATAAATAAATTACTATTTATTTGTTTAATGTTAATTGTTACACCTTGGTTAAGGGTTACAATGGGTGACATAATTCCTACTATTTGAGATGTGTTTACATCAAGGACCTTTATATTTGAGCATTTGACATAGCAAGACATATGAATAGTTACGTTAAATACTATTGTGTTTTATGCCAAAGGAGATTCTCCATAATAGCATAACCCTTACATCCTTCTACTATACCCCACGGATCGTTGAATAATTTCAATTCTTTGGCTGCCACCCGACAGATCATCACAGAGCTACCGCGTACATGCGTATATCGCATACATATTACATACACTACATACACACACCAATGGTTCAGTGTTCAGCGGCATGCTTGCCGAAACGTCGCTCAATTCTGGTGTAATCGATTGCTTGTCCCTTATCCGATATCGGGTTCAATTCACCAAACTATCGATTGTAATTAAACATAGGATTTTTTCATACGTAAGCTGATTAAATTGTTTTAGTTTACATAAATGATATAATCTCCATTAATTAATTGTTTCCGTAAATTAATTATTTTCGCAAATAAATTTTCATAAACTGATGGTTTCGAACAAAAAGGTGTAGGAACGTACTCATAAAAAGTCGACTCATACAGCACCAACACATCACAATAAATGTCATTTTGTTGTGTGTGTAAACGTAGTGATTACATTCTCTCTGGTGTGTGTTGTGTATATATTTACATGTTTACCAATTTGTTGGTTAGGTTTCGAATTAAAATATTTATTAAATATATTTTCATAATTTTAAGATAATTAATACATCAAACTAAACAGTATAGTATTACAGAAACGTTGGGAGATATTCATCGAAAACTATACTGTTGGAAAATTCAGAAGAGGAATAGATATTTTTCAAATCAATATTCTATTTTAAAATGAACAAGAAACAAATATCCTTCGGCAAAATAAGTCTCAATCTTAATAAAAATGAGCAAAATGAAGACGTGTCTACGTCGGGTTTCGGTAAATTCGGGCGGACACCCATCCAAGAGCAAAAGGAAATAGAAGAAATCGCAGATGACTTGGAGAATCAGCACGTAGAACAAGTTATGGGCATCAAGAACTTCGGTAAAAAGGCCAAAAACTTTAATCTTGAGGAGATGATGGAGCAAGCGAGGAAGACCGCTCAAGAAATAAAGAAACATAAATCAGAAACTAATATTAAAGATTCAAGTGCAGATAGTTCAATGAATAAAGACAACGACAATATCGGCCCTCCTGTTCCACCGGATTTAGAGCAAGAAGACGAACTGATTGGCCCACCAATACCTAAAGAAATCTTAGAGGGAAATACCGATAATAGCAATGAATCCAAAAAAGTTAAATCAAATATCAATGAATCAACTGGGAGTAAATCAGACAGCGATGAGGACAGCTACAATGAACTAAGTGGGTCTGATGATGATGATGATGAATTAAGCTTGGAAAAGAGCATACCTAGTAGTCATGAGGTAAAGTTTGCAATTTAAAGTTAATACTTAATTATTAAAAGATAAGAATAACCTACACATTATCAGCGAAAACATTTTTTAATTACTTGAAGTTTCATTCTTTTTGTTTTAAACTTTTTACTTTTGCAATGAGTTCTTGTTAAAATATTACTTTTGTATTAAAAAAATAAAAAAGATATAAAAGTGGTAAAAGCTTCAGGCTAAATATGTCCTGCTGCTGGGCAAAATGTACATCATGCAACCCCACTGCGGACGTTTTTGCATATCTCTGAATTTTTTTTTAGATTTTCAGGTTTTTTCATGATTTTCCTTTACCATTCAGCATGTGATAAGTACTTAGGTTGCTAGAGTATAATTAAAAGAGAGCAACGGGACACTACTAACATGGTTCTTATTGGAGGTAATACATACTAGTAGAACTAAATTTAACTATAAATATACTCTAATATCTTTCTCAAATAATGTTATTCAGAATAATTATTGTTATGTATATTTTGTGAATGTATAATCGAAAAATGTACCAACAACCACTGCAACCCATAAGATGTAGTCTGCTTCGAAAACATTGCCTCCTAACTGTAAGACAAAATTATCCTGTATTGTAATAAAGTTTTTATATACATAAATTTTACAAATTTTACATGGGTAAGCCAGATTCTAAACAATTATTTTTAGGTCACACAAATTGTTGTCTTGTGCGGGAATCGAACACAACCTTCGGTACCTAAAGCAATACCAGTTGTGCCACGGAATCATCAAATTACATAGCTTAAAGTAATACAATAATACAAATGTTAGTAATATTGCAATATTTCTAAAACAACATCATTCGCTCATTGTAACACAGTAGGCTCATCATTATCACACTTGCAACTAAAATGTGCTTGATTATAGAAGAAACTTTTTTACGCTGGTAGGGTCACGCAGCAGCCTCGGCTGTTGAACGAATGGGCAGGCCCGGCCGGGTAAGTACCACAACCTCACAGAAGACCAGCGTAAAGTGGAAGTATGACAAATACTTTCGCGTTTTGTCTGGTGAGTGAGGTAGCCGGAGCCCAATTTTCAAGGTTGTCAACGCATCTGTAACTCTCGTATTCACTCACCATCAGGTGAATTGTCTGCTCGTTAGGCAACTTTTTACACAAAAAAAAATGCTGTCCAGAATGTTAGCGTTAAAATGTCTCTACTTCTTGTGGTTAATATTTTGCTTTTCAACAGGTGGAAATGCTTCATGGAACAAAAGCTGTCATTGCTTTAGCTGTTGACCCATCTGGAGCGCGTTTAGCGACGGGCTCTATAGACTATGATGTATCGTTCTGGGACTTTGCCGGTGAGTAAATTCCTATCTTTTGTACACCTGACAACAAATTTATTATTATTGTATTATTAAGGACCATAAAAATAGGTATATTTTTTCTACCTTCTCCCAACTACAGACCAGACTATGTCTATATTTACACTCAAATGTCTTAATACAAAGAAGTTTATGCATTACAATGATGACGAATACGTTGAGGCCGAAATGTCGCTGTCGGTGTTTAGGGGCGCACAAGATCTATCTTCTATATCCACTACACTATCATCAGCACTATCTATCTCGTTCCGCTTCGCATTCAACAGCACTGGTTTCCAAAAACGCGGGCCCATCCATTGCCTCTATTAAAATTACGGCGTTCGATATCTGGATGGCTTCCAAGAGAAGTTCTTTTACCAGGCCAAAACTTTCACCTTATCAAACCTAATATAATGCAAGTTATCAGAGTTGAGGGTATGCTCTTCCACTGCCGAGGAATATGATGCTGTCCATTTTGCGCCCACTAAAGATGTGCTCAGTGAGCCTAGTATTCATTTTGTGTTCTCTGATGTTAAAACATATAAAAAAAGGACGAAAAGATTGTCGCCGCTGTGGGAATCGAACCCACGTCTTCGGCATTCGCGGCCTGACGTTCTAGCCACTGAGCTAAACGGCTGATAGGCACAGCGACGAAAATTTTAACGCCTTCTTTCTACATTGTTATTTAGCATTTGCAATGTTTGGCGCATCTATTGTTATATCCTTTCCAGCATACAAACAATTTCGAATATCGTTTTACAACGATAATTCGAACGAAAGATGTCGCCATTGCTTTTTATAAATTTTAAAGTTTTTATAGTGCTAATCTTTGCACTTAAGATTAAAACATGTATAAAAAGAAAGAAAAACGTCAGGCCGCGAATGCCGAAAACGTGGGTTCGATTCCCACAGCGGCGACAATCTTTTCGTAATTTTCTACATGTTTTAATGTTCAATCTTAAGTGCAGAGATTAGCACTATAAAAAACTTTAAAATTCTCTGATGTTACTTAGCCTTGAACAAGTATCAAAAGTAGTGAGAGTGTACATTTGTAGCTTATTACTTAATGCATTGTTGCAAATTCCAGGTATGGACTCCTCGATGCGCTCCTTCCGCACACTCCAGCCTTGCGAGAACCACCCGATCAAGGCGCTGCAGTACTCAGCGACAGGTGACTCGATTCTGGTCGTGAGCGGCTCAGCCCAAGCCAAAGTGCTGGACAGGGATGGTTTTGAGGTGCTTGAGTGTGTTAAAGGTGACCAGTACATCACTGATATGGCCAAGTAAGTATCCTTATTTTATCACTTTCTAATTTAGGGACATTGATATACGACAAGTTTATTTAACATGTAGTTTATGTGAAGTGATGAGAAAAGTGATTGCAGCATTATATATATATGAATATTATATTTTTGTGGTTTATATTTATTTATATGATATATTTAATGTTACAATTGTTTTATACAATATATTTTTGGTTGAATTGATGCATTAAAATTGTTATGGTGTATGTAGGCCATATTAATATGTTTAGTTTACGTCCTCTGTCTTACTTTTCATCTCTATTTTTTTATTATTCGTTCTTAAAAAGGCGGAAAGGGAGCAGGCTTTTTAAGTGATTCAAAACATTACCTCCCCTGATGAACATCTACAACACCTGTGGAGCTGAAAAGGCGTTTTCAAACTTTTTTATGTGAGAAAGTGGCGAGGTAGCTGGCGTTTATCCCGATGTTAAGTGATAACCGCCGTCCAGGAAACATGAATACTGTTGCGTGGGCCTACCACTGGCTCTGTTCAGCTACGGGTGACAGAGCAGTGTTTGTTCCTTCGTCTAAAAACTAGCCCCAGGCCTTTGTAAATAGTTTACCATTACCAATTGGCTATCACCCTTCCATTTGAAAAAAACACTGACCACACCACCAGGACGAAGGGGCACACCGCGTCGCTGAACAGCGGCTGCTGGCACCCGCACGTCCGTGAGGAGTTCATGACCAGCTCCCGCGACGGGACCCTCCGTCTATGGCTGACGGGGAACCCGAAGCAGCACAAGTCCGTGATCAAGCCGCGTCAGCAGGGCGGCCTGAAGACCAACCCCACTGCCTGCACCTTCTCCAGGGATGGCAACGTGGTCGCGTGCGGCTGCTACGACGGCTCCATCCAGATGTGGGACCACAGGAGGAGCTTCGTCAACACGACAGCCCTGCTGCGGAACGCCCACGAGAAGCAGTCGGAGATATGCAGCATCTCGTACTCCTACCTCGGCGGCATGTTGGCGAGCAGGGGGAACGATGACACCCTCAAGCTGTGGGACCTGAGGAGCTTCAAACAGCCATTGCACGTGTTCGGCGACCTATTCTCGAGGTACGAGCAAACCGACTGCGGCTTCAGCCCTAACGACGAGCTCGTCTTCACCGGCGAGTCCCTCCAGAGGGGCCAGGAGGTCGGCCGGCTGCTGTTCTACAACGCGAAGACCCACCAGCTCGTCACCAGCATAGATGTTGGCAAGTCGCACGTGATCAAGGCGGTGTGGCACGCGAAACTCAACCAGCTGTTCGTCGGCTGCGGGAACGGCGTCATAAAGTGCTACTACGACCACAGGCGAGGAGCCTGAGAGGCGCCAAGCTCTGCATAGTGAAGACCCACAGGAAGAAGCAGTCCATGGAGGTGGTGAGCACGCAGCAGATCATCACGCCGCACGCCCTGCCACTGTTCAGGCAGGAGAAGCTGAGGACGAGCAAAAAGAGGATGGAGAAGGACAGAATGGACCCCGTCAAGTCGAAGAGGCCGGACCTACCAATCACTTCGGGGCAGGGTGGTAGAGTGGCGGCGTCGGGAAGCACTCTGAGCTCGTTCGTCATCAGGAACCTGGGGCTGAGCAAGCGCGTGAATGATGAACAGGACCCGAGGGAGGCGATTCTGAAGTACGCTAAGGAGGCGGAAGAGAATCCGTTCTGGGTGGCACCGGCGTACAAGAAGACGCAGCCACAACCGATTTTCCTGAACGACGCCGCCGAAGAAGGCCCCTCCGACCCCAAAAAGCCGAAGACTTCATAAAGATATCTGTTTGAATAATTATGTGATTCTTTTTAATGATCTATGTTTTGTTAACATAGTTCAGTTTTGTTGTTACCAGTATGTTGATTGATTTGATGGTCCATTAATGGCCTAGACTCAGAGACTGGTTCAGTTGCAGATCATGGGTTTAAATTTTATTAACCAATGAGTTGCGTAACTCCTCGAGTTCTTACAAAGAATCAATTCACTATCATTTACTTTTGATTGAGATGCTACGAGAGGCTGAAAATATAAATATCATAAAGTCTATTTACTTACAGTTTTAGTAAATTTGGTAAAGGGAAAAGCCTCAATCCACTTTCTTTTTATCTATTGTATATGAAATGAAAGATGTGGTAGCTATTTTCTAAAAATTGATTTACCACTACACTAGTTTTAATGAATATAAAGACTACTGACTTTAGTACTACTTCTAAATGTTATTCTATAACTTGGATGAGAAGATTTAACAAGGTTTAAGCATTAAACTGTTGAAAGTGATAAGTTATGGTGACTGAGTATTCAATATTAATATGATAATTTGTTACGAGCAAAGTTCGTGAATGTAGTACAACTTGGTTGTCCCTAAGAATCGAATACAAAAGGCTTCATAAAGTAAGTGTGAATTTGTAACAATGTTACAATGTACCTGAGTGCAAACTGCAGTGGACCCCCAGTTATCGGACAAACGTTTTGTAAGGCAGTGTTGGACTATCGAATATGTCTGATTATAGAATACTGCCTAATAGTCCGGAATTTTTAGAAAAAGTGTGCCTTGTAACCTGACAAATTAGAAATCAAAATGATAAGATTCTATCTGAAGTACAAATCATACTACATGTGTGCCGAATTAAGTAAAAACGCGCGTCGAACACAATACAGAGCAGTGGTGGCGCGTACAAGTTGCAATTAAACAGTAATCACGCATTACCTACATTAGTGAAGATGTGCCAAAATAATGGTATGTACCTACATTCACAGGTATTTGTTACCTACAGTGATAGACTTGTCGGATTACAGGGGGCGCCGGATTAGACAGGGGCCGAATTACCGGGGGTCCATTATATAATGAAAATCTAAATATTTCTAATTTAAAATATTGTTCCCCTTTTAAAATATTGTTCCCCTATTTAATAGACAATTCAATTTGTGTTTAGTGATTACTTATTTCATTCATTAAATGGAATGAAAAAGTATAAAGGAGAAACGCGGAAAGGTATTAGAGAAGGCCATATTGGCCATCACAGTTTGGGAAAACTCCCCCACTCAATGGAATGACAATGTTGTGCGGGAGTTCGGTGTATGCAGGTGGCTCATGATCTTGCTTTATGGGAATCTGGGGCCTCTGCTTATGTTGCAGTGGAATTATACAGCCTGGAATTATGATGATGATGAAAAGTGTATTGTAAACACAAGACAATGATAACCCTCATTGTAAGCAACAAAGGTTGCAACCATCAATAACATTGGTCACCGCATCTGTGTTGATGGGTCATTGTACCAAAATCTTTGCACTCTGTGACCCCACTTTAATAACATTATTAAATGATAGGTATAGAGATATAATTTTATCTAAAAGATATTAAATGGCCAGATTATTTTGTTTTTATAACAAAAATAGATTAAATACTTAAACAAATACTTTTTATACCATAAACAAAATCAAAAACAATGCAATATTTTAGAGATTTAACAAAAGTGTACCATATCTACTAATATTGTAATAATATGTTTATATTGGAGAGAAAAAAAAAGAACTAAAACGAAATGTCAAATAAAAGAAGTAGATGATTTGTTGTTTTTTGTATTCACTATCATAAGTATTACTTAAATATTTCTACACTAGACTTAAAATAGATATAGTTTATTCAAGCCTGAGCTTCCATCATGCTCTTAGGAGCAGGATCTGTTCTCTCTCCAAATGGATTAATTGGTGACCTGGCAGAATTCTGAAATAGGACATCTATATTATTCAAAAGTTTAAAAGCACAATTAAACTAAATCACTGTTGAGAATATTATATGCGAAAATTTGATAAGCGGGCTCACAAAAAAATGTATCTTTCGAAGATATGTGAACCGTTCGGTCCGCCTAATCCGCAGTGGGGCCGCGTGGTGGGACTATCATATGCCCAGCAGTGGGACATGAACACCCAATCCTTGGTTATCACGGACACCGAAAGTATAAAACTCCAAAAAGTATGAAACAACAAGCGTAGTTTAGCTTGGGACTAGAGAATGTTGTGTAAAAAAGTGTCCTGTGATTCATATTTTTTTTATCATTTAAAAAAAATTAAAGTTGAAGAAAACTATGAATGAAACACTTCTATAAATGCTAGAAATTAGCTTAAAATTTGTACAAAAGTACTGAAGTCTGCGATAAAGTTACAATTATTATATTATGCTAACGGTCTCATACCAGTTTCTTAGCGCGCTCTGTCAGTATCGAAAACGCGAAGTGGTTCAGTATGACACTAGTAGGCAGCGCTACACCTTGGAACCTGTACAGCAGTTTAACATCGCTCTCCTGTGAACCTGTGGGCCAAAGATTGTCTTTCTCTAAACCGACACCATCAGCAAACCGAAAACCAATTATCAACATCATTTCAGCCTGCCCGCTGCTGAACAAGGCCTCTAACAGACTGCCATGAAGCAATATCCTGAGACACCGCTCACCGGTCGAAATTCATACATAATTCTCATTTGTAAATTAGTTTGGTTTTTGTTTTGATAAAATCTATTAAAATATTATGTAGATAGCTAAAAATTTAACTTGAATAGTGCGTGTAAACAGTAAGTTTGATTAACTTTTGTTGAGTTGAAGACTTTCTTCTTAGAACTTGAACCATTAAGTTAAATTTTTTCATTGATTGCCCTGTTTCATAGGTGATTCATAGATCTCTTAGTTCATCTAACCATTTCTTTCTTTTATGTTAAAGATTTGTAGATTTATAATTATAATGATCAAAAATCATTTCAAATTTTAATAATAATCTTTGCAAGTAAAGAATATTATTAAAATTAATGTACTGTCCACATTTTTTATTTGTATAAAAAATAAACTATGTAACATCTCATATATAATTCCATATTTATTAACTACAAATAAGTGGAATAGGGGAATATCTTAAATTATATATAAAAATTTAGAGACTGAATTCAGACTTACCAATTAACTTGTGAACGGAAGCAATTGTCACTCGGCCGATTTGTCCGGTTCTACTAATCATGGGGCCCTTGGATATGTCCACATGTTCGCCAATTCTGTACAGTGTCACTTTACCTGTGCAATAAACAAAGCATATTGCATTGCAACTAATAAATCCTGTGTTTTTCCTTTATGTGATAAAGTGGCAACGTAGCGGTTCACTTGATGCTAAGTGATAATCGCCGCCCATGGACAATGTTGCAACACCCGTAGGGTTGCAAATGCGTTGCCACATTTAAATACGGTGGGCCCCGGCTACCTCACTCATAATTAGTGTGTTCACTCTAAACCGCATTCGCATAGTGAATTATCCCTAATCCTGATCTTGGCGAGATGGACGTATGTACATGCATGACCTAACCTTAAGCGACAGACAATTGAGGTTGAGCGCTTGCTAGCTTTATTAAATTTAGAAAAACCAGGGTTTACTTGGGATAATACTTTGTATGGAGGCATAATGTTTACCCTTTGAAATTTGTGTAACTTCCCACAAGCCCTTCCACTTATTAACTAGCAATTTCCTAGCGAGTGATACTAAATCATGAGAATAAGTCATGGCTAATGGAATACCATTAGATATTGCATCCTTAGCACGTGTCAGCTGTTTCATTTCCATGAATCCCACTATGGCCAGGTATCCATGCCAAAGTGACATGGATTCCTTTCGTAAAACATCTAAAAAGAACATTTTTAATTTTTAAATTTACTATGAAATTTGTTAGATAGAATAGCCTGTAAACAACTTTTGGAATCAGTGAGAATAATAGTCTTGTGAAGGTTATGTGACTCTACATATGTTAATGCTTCATAAATAGCTGTTGCCTCACCAGTGAAAATGGAACATAAAGGGGGACAATTATATTTTAAAATGATTTTAAACTTGGGTATCCAGACTGATGCACCTATACAGAGATCATCTGAAATTTTGGAAGCATCAGTATAGACTACAAGCCAATCTAACCATGATTGATCTAATAACCTTTTCAACTTTAAATTTGCCATAGGATCATTTTTTTCAATGTTGAGGTCCAAGTGGACATCAGGTTGATGAATAACAGCTTCATAAGGAGTATCAAATAAGGGGTTGCAAGAAAAAATATCACCAGGAATTTGAAGAACTGAAACAAAACTCTTAAACAAACATGGCAAATCTTTGTGGACCCAGTAATCACTTGTAGACACAAATTCCGATAGGATGTGTAATTTGGGGATAAGTGGATGGCATGAAAGCTGATATAGTTTAAAGAGGAATCTATCAGAAAGGTACTGTCTCCTTAAGTAGAGTGGTGGTTCAACACACTCCACTTGAAGGGCATTAATTGAAGAAGTTTTCATTGCTCCTGTGATGATACGGAGGCATTTGTACTGAATCTTATCTAAAATTTTGAGGGATGATTTACTGCATGGCTCCATGAGGAAAGAACCGTAATCTGTATGGCTATGGATAAGAGCATTATATAATAATCTCTGGGAATATGGATGGGAACCCCACCATACACCAGAAAGGGATCGAATGATATTAATATTTTTCTCACATTTTTTAGAGATGTAATCTATATGATGAGTAAAGGATAACTTTCTATCCAAAACTATGCCTAAAAATTTCACCTTGTCTCTATTGGGGATAGGGTGGCCATCATAAGTGATTAAGATATCAGGTAATCTCTTATGGCGGCAAAAGATTACTATACTGCTCTTTAAGGCAGACAAACATAGACCATGGTCAGTTAGCCACTCTTGAAGATATAGCATGGAAGAATTTAGAAGGGTACAGGCTTTAGAAAGGTTATCTATTGGTAGGTACATGGCTAGGTCATCTGCATATTGGAGGACATTACAAAATGAATTAACAGATAGTTCTAAATCATAGGTGTAAATAGTATAGAGAAGAGGGCTGAGGACTGATCCTTGGGGAAGACCTTTCCAAATATGTCTAGGCGACAACATAGAATTTTTAATATTTATATGGATTAATCTAGAAGAGAGAAAATTACAAACAAAATTTACAATCCTCACAGGAATACTCAGCTTTAGCATTTTCTGCCTGAGCACTGAAAGAAGTACATTATCATATGCAGATGAAATATCAAGGAATATACCTACAAGATTATGTTTAGATAGAGCTACTCTGATGTCTGTAATTAATGTACTGAGGCTGTCCATAGTGGAGGAACCTCATTACGAAACGGTGCTAGTTTAAAAAAATGACTGTCGATAGACTAAATGTACATTCTTTCTGTTGATGAATAAATGATTTTGATGAGTGGGACATTGTTTAAAAATAAGAAAACACGAACCATTAGCCCTCGCTATGTCCGGTATCTGCTTGCTCTTGTGCTCGTTTTCGACGAACATCTCCAGCGCCAGCTCCTGTCCCACCTCCAGCCTCTCCACCAGGTCGTCCCTCCGGCACAAATTAATAAACTCCGCGCTCAGGGTGTACAACTCCTGCGTCGAGGGCGTCCAATCCGGCAGCGTGGGCAGGTCCACGTCGTAGATGAAGGAGCCGCTGCGAACTGTCAACAGAAAGTGGTTAATACAGGTACAAAGTGAAACTTGAACGCCGCTGCGTTCAAGTGTTATGTGAACTTTTAAATGATTTTATAATATCGCCTCTTGTATAAGCAAAAACACCCTATTAAGCCCTAAGTGATGAGATGTAAGGGATTTAATAAATATCAACTCTACTAGTTCCCTCCATTATTACTTTTGGTGATTTATCATAATTAAGATGATAGTAGAGATAGTATTAGAAGAGTCAATGCCTTTATCAGTTAAAATATAAATCCTGCCCCTCTTCCTAGATTGCTTATTTACGTCTGTAATACCTGAGCCTCTCTAATAAGCAAATAGTCATCTGATGGTATTCTCAAACTACCAGCTCTTGAAAAAATACTATGCTATCTTCTTAAATGACAGCAATACATATCTGTTAGAAAATACAGTAAGTGTTTTTGCTTCATAATAAATCTCATTAAAACGACCAAAAAGCACTAATTATCCCTTAAAGACTTAACACAGATAGTTAATAGCCATCTACCATCCCCCAAACTTGCACCAACTCCAAACATGAACATGACACACCAAAATTGTGTGCTTCTTTCTGAGCTGACTTAAGCTGACTTAGTTATATTAATAACCCTGTCATAAACATGACTTGTAAAGGCTATAATAGTTTCATTTACCAACGCCTTAGTTAGGGTAGAAACACAGTTTTATTATCGACTCACAGATAGAAGTTTCTAGTGCAAAAAGTTGCGAAATACGTAAAAATTGAAGATCTGCTATGATTATTGTTGCTGTTTAATTTCTTGAATTTACTTCCTTTATATAATTCCTTGTAATAAATAACTATTGTATTCCACACACACACAATTCCCACTTATTCATGGAGCTACAAGTGATTATGTTCAAGATCTCATTTCTCCAATTGGTACCTACAATGTCTATTTGTGCAATTAGTCCACAAACCCACTGCCAATTAGGCTAAATTCATTTTATACTGTAAGTTTTGTATTCTCTTGTGTAAGTATGTATGTAATGTAAATCTCTTGACATTATAAATGTCTTAGGTTGTGGCTTCAACATCACAAGTGTATTGCAAAATAATACTATTTTAAGGATTTTATCGCGATGTTTCAAGTTTCGATGTTTCGAACATTTTTTAGCGTTTCATTGTCACGGGACAGATTGAGTTTCATTTCACAATGTATAATATTTGCGGTAAAACATGAAATCAACATCTCAAGTTTAGCCAAATGAATATAACAAGAACGAAAATGATGTCAGTTATTATGTTATTAAATATACTAACTGTCGGGCCCCGGGAAGCTGTGTAGTTTCACCGTGACGTTGTCCTTAAAGGCGACTGTGGCACAGGCGCCGAGAACTAAGGAGCACGTGCGCCAAAACGCCTTGTTCACTTGGTGCGGCTCCGCTATGTTGAATGTCTGGAACTGAACACAATCCACAATGCATTTATAGCTACTAGCAGGTGACGGCGACGCCGTCTGCGCAGCATTAGTGCTTCGAGTAGCTTATTTTCTTCTCCAAGGTCCTATCTATCTTTAAACCCAAACTCATCAAAATCAATTCTGCGGTTCAGTAGTAGGTGTTACAGACAGTAACTTTGGGAGACCCATGTATCTTCATAAATTATGTGTTATTCTGCTGTACAAGCTCTATTATTTATAATAATAAGTAAATAAAAATAGTTCATTACAATAATTATCTTCTATCTTTAGTGAAGCTATGTTTAAGGTAAAATTTTATTATGAGTTTAAGATTGATTATTGACAAAAAAATTGCTATAGCATTCGCAGCTAGAGAAGCAGACGCATTACATGTCATCATCATCATCATATCAGCCGTAGGACGTCCACTGCTGAACATAGGCCTCCCCCATTGACTTCCACTTCGACCGGTTGTTAGCGGCCTGCATCAAACACGTCCCTGCGATCTTAGCTAGGTCGTCCATCCACCTTGTGGGAGGTCTTCCTACGCTGCGCTTGCCGTCACGTGGTCTCCACTCGAGAAACTTTTTGCCCCAACGGCCATCAGTTCTTCGAACTATGGACCCTGCCCACTGCCACTTCAGCCTGCTGACTCGCTCTGCTATGTCGGTAACTCTATTTCTTCTACATGTCATATATGTCATTAAAGCGGTTCAGTGAAATGTAAGCAGCAATGTTTTCTAATAATGTGCAAGCATGTTATATTAAATAAATATTCTTTATTTATACTGCTAGTCTGCACTTCGGATGCTCCATTAAATTTAAGTTCTAACACTTGAATTGTTAAAACTTCAGTGCTGCCAGGGTAATAGAATAACTACAAATTGAATCACCTCTAATGTACAGCTCTCTGATAGGGGTTTGTGCATGTCCCAGTATATGCTTCCATCTACCAGAGCCAATGCACTGCTCTCCGTATGCCATTCACTGAAATCTAGAGGGGTTTATTATTAAAACAACAATACACTCACTGATACTTAACAAAAACAGCCTACATGTTCCTACAAAAAAAATATTCAGCATATGAAGATGAATATACATAGAAAAGGCAGTAAAAGATCATGGATAATAGGACAACTTTAATTTTCCAAAGAATAAAAATCATTTATTTCTGTAATCTCCGATACATTTCTATATGGCTGGACTGGAATGTGAAGCTGGTTCGAAATAAGTAAAAGTTGACCAATACATGAACGAAATGAGCCTTAACTTAATGTACAATTTTCAGTTTCCCCAAGCACATAAGCACACAGAGCTGAATTGTTCCCGTTTGTAATAATTAAATCTGAAATGACAAGTCATTTGTGGCCCAAAACTTCATTTTAGAGAGCGCTAACATGAAGTGTTGAGTGTATCATTATATCTGCTTTTTTATTTTATTTTTTGCATGATAATTATGGAATAAGTAGCGCACTTACGCTTAGCACAATCGTACGGTGTAGATATATCTTTGTTCATGACTAAACTGCAGTCTTTAGGTATACCCTTATATTTAACTTCGATCTTTTCTATTCTTCCCACTTGTTCCAATTGTCGTTTCTTCTCCAAGGTGAAAAGATGATGACGGCGTTCGACAGCTTCTTGAGTACTTAAACATCCTAAAAAAGTATCAAAATAATGAACAGGATTTACCCAAACTTTAGTTACCATAGAACGAAAATGTAACACAGCACTTAAGACTTACTGTATGAGGGGAAGACTTTTATGTTATGGTTCTTAAATATTAATTGAGATAATTGACCTATAGGTATCTTCATGGCGAATGAAGATTTGATTATAAAAATATTCTATCCGATTTCAATTGTAAACAAATTTTGAGGTTATCCGCAATGAAAATGACAGTCGTTAGTTTTTAATCACTAAGGTAGGCACATGACGTTTTAATACAAATTACATAAAGGCATCCAGAACTTGGAAGCTATATGAAATATTTGTCTAGATTTAATAAGTTTATGCGTTCTCATCTTTCCAGTAATAGAGCCAGCAGTGCAGCGGCTTCTGAGTTGGTTGTTTTTTATAAGTCTAGTTTGCAAAGTTTGCTGTTACTGTTAGTACGGCGATTCTGCTGACTGCTTCATCGAAAGATGGACAATTCGACTAACATGGGACATAAAACACGATCATAGGTGGGACCCTATTCCACCCCATTGAATTATGGGCTAAAAGATTCTCTTTAATTACATAACGGTTTGTAGTTAATGCTATGGATCACATCTATATAAATCGTTCGTGAAAAAAAAAATTTGTTTTTTGTTAAAACCGTATCAGGCCCATAAAACATTTTTTATGTAAGAATACTGCATTAAGTCCTTTCAATTGAGATTTTCGACGACCTTTGATGTGAGGGAAGGGGTTCATATTTAGTGATAACTACTACAACACCTGAGGCGTTCTGAGGCATTGCCAACCATTGTAAGTGGCCCCGATTACCTTTTTCTCCTTACCATACAAAACGCACTCGACGGAAAGTGCAAGGTCCCACATTCGCAGTCTACACATGACACGCATGATATTCACTTGTGAACCTTGTTGTTAAGGCTGCTTTTGTTCGCTTACATAGTTTTATTGAATTAAAAACTTCTTTTAGCGCGGTACGCATATTTTCAGATGACATAAAATCTCTGGACCCGCGGCACCGTTACGAGACGCAGCTATATTGTGTGCTTAATTGAATTTGTGAATAGAGCATTTGATTTTACTATATCCAATCAAAGCAATATTAGCACAACGCGATGTAAAAGTACAATTGATGCGGAATTCACGAGATATTTAAATAACTTCGAATCAAAATTGTCTATTTATGTTATTTTATTTATCTAAAAAATGTCTAACGCACCAAAATAAATTTTCACTTCTGTCGGCACTCCCGGAGTGCAACCCGTAATTTATTAATAAAATAACACTATGTAAGCGATAAACAAATCTGCATTTTTTTCGTTTGATCATCGCGTAGTTAATTAAGATACTTTAATTTTGATAATCTTTAAACCAGGAATTAATTATCATAGTTACTCAACTTTGTATAATTGAGATAATACTTGTTAACTACTTCTGATCTTGTTTTTTTTTATAATTAATCTCACTGTTTAAATAAATATTTCGTACCCACTAGTTCGACTTTAGTAGGTATGTCTCGTTTTTTGCGACGACCCCATTAGCGTGGGGAGTAGTAAACCTGCCTCTTGTGACAGAGGGTGTGGGTTCGATCCCCACTACTGGATAAAATTGGAACTAAAGAAATAAATACATTCTACTAATTACAATATCAGGTTAATGTTCTATTAAGTATTTGATTTTTCTCAGTTTAATTAAGATTTACTTGGATAGCACATAATCTTGCAATACCTATGCTTTGAGTAGGTCCTTGAATGTTTTACCTGTAAGGATCTTTATTACAGGTTATTTATAAATAATTTTTAAGGTTTATACACAATCTGAGGATGATTTTTGCTAATTTCATTTCATTTGTGATTTATTGATCAATTACTGTTTTGAATCTGAAATTCTTCATATAAATTATATACTCTATCACTTATGTAATTAAAAATAACACTGTATAGAAGTTCCTATACAGTGTTATTCTCCTCTGCTTTGTGATAATTTTCTTATATTTTTCACTTTAAAAATACTATTAAAACAAACATAAAAAAATTTAACAAACTGCTTTATTATACTACATTTCAATGTAACAAATATTTCCATATACATAATTTTCTAATGATATATAAATTCTCAAAATCTTAAACTTTATTCATTTTACAATTTCAGAAATTATTATTGTTGTTAAAATAACCTATTATTAAACAGGTTATACAAGTGTAAGAGTACAAGTTAGAATCATGAAAGTCAAGAACTATAGATATTAGTGTCAAGTAGATAGAGGGGAGCACACAAGGTTAGAGGTATTGACTACTAGCTGCTGCCCGCGACTATGTCTGCGTAGAATAGGCTGAAGGCGTAACATTCAGACAGAAAGACATATATACATAAAAATATGTGTATAAATTATGGCCTATGTTTTATTCTGATGTATAAGCTATATTATTGTGAAGTTACATTAAAATCCATTCAGTAGTATTTGCGTGAAAGAGTAACAAACATACAAACTTTCACCTTAATAATATTAGCATGGATAGTAAGGATGTAGAGATATAGACATTAGGGGCACATGCAGTTTTTCACTTATGAATATATATAACTGATAGAGAAACATAACAATTGAACAACAACTATCATAAGCCGGGTTAAATTAAGTTCAACATTTATCTAAAACTGATTGGTTAATGTTATATATTAAAAAGCCCTGCAAAATAAACAGTTATAGCAACAATGCTAATACCTGCTGCAGGTCAATCATATTGCATTTAATATTATATACAAAATATGTAAAAGCAACCACTTCGTCTTAAAACATAACATTATATATCAACACGGCAATACCATCAATTATTGTAATTCTATCCAACCATTGTCCTTTTCCTACCTCTTGCACGTACTTCATCAAATTTACTTAAAATTTCTTTGATATTGTTTTTACTATAGCCTTTGTAGAAATCAAGAATTTTATCGAATAATTTTGGGAAATCATTGTGGGTACTGATCAATGCTCTTTCCAAAACGTACAAGTCGACCCCTTTGTCCTCCGCACTGTTATCTATGTATGACAGGCCAAAATCAATCATGGCAAATTCAACATTGTCGTATTTGAACCATCTCGTGTCGTCGGAGGGATCGTTTGGTGTTTTCTCGACTAAAAGCATATTAGATGTCGTCAAGTCGCCATGTATTATGTTGCTCTCGTGCATCTTACGCACAGCTTCTCCAATCATCTTAGCGATGAAATCCAAAGCGTTCTCGTGTTCCTTCTTTTCCTCAGCGACTACGTTGATAATGAAGTCCTTCAATGTAATACTGTTCTCGAAATGTTGCATGTATATTCGTCGCCGATCAAAATCTACCAAGTACAATACAGGTGTTTTCACATCAGCCAACATACATCTTAGTATCGAACGGGCTTCGTTCTTTATCCTCTCCTTCGTTATGGTGCTGTCTAAGTCTGGGTGACGGTAGTTTTTCTTAAATCTTTCTTTAATTAACGTCGGTTTTCCTAGATAGTTACATATAAATAATTTAGCTTCAGCGCCTTGCTTTAATATCTTCAAATCTTCACACATGTTTAATACGAATAAAACTATACTATTAATTTAAAATAAGTATAATACAGTTTTCATATAAACAATAATAACAAACTAATAACCAAATTAACAACGGAATGTTTATTGACAATTAATGTGATTGTGAGTGAGGTTTTTTTTTTGTGACCGGCACGCTACAGTCACAGCAAAGCACACAGCTTATTAATTCAATAATGCTAGAAAGAATAAGTGTTACCACTATTCAGTATTCACCCAATCAAAATGATTATATTATCTAAGGACAAGGTCTTAAATTATCTGGATAATTTAAAATTGAAACACGTCGTTCACTTTTTTTTCGATGGTGTTCTAAACCTAGCTTCGGAGCTCCGTCTGATATCATGTCGTACCCCCTTTGTTAGTTGAAGTTAAATTGTTCATCTTTCATTATCAGATCAGGGTCGCATTCGCAGGGTTATGATGCAACAAACCGGATGGTGTTATCTTGATGCACCAGTTACGTTGTATCTTCTGAATTCGCGAGTTATTTTACCAACGGACTTCTTCCGACAAAACCCAACGTAGCTAGGCTAACACCGAACTACGTTAACACAAAAAAAAACAGATTAATTATTTTACTTTGTTAACCTTTCATATTATGGAACAACTACTTTTTTGCTAACTAGTTCAGTTCAAGATGACGGTGATGAATGAGGAACAGATCTTTATCATTGTCATCACCGTTTGAATCTTCGATTTCAGTAACAGCGTAATCTGTATTTACCAGTATTTGGCGTACGAGATCTTATTAATTCCAAAAAAGAAATCATATTTATATTTATTATCATGTATGTATCTTTTCAACATTGAGGAAATATACAAAGAAAAGTACTACTGTTACACAGTTGCATAATAAGTCATAAACATATATAGTGATACTAAACTATAATTACTCCTTATTTCATACGTCTAAAGTACTTTTTATGAAATGTGATTAAATATTTAAATATCTTGTAAAACGGTGTATGAAACGGAATGTAATAATGAATAAAAACGAAATCGACGTTTACGAACCGCACCTTACATTCACAACTGGTATAGATAGATAGGTATACTGATACCGTGCCTACTATATGTATATACACATGCCGTCGTTGTATGTATTCACTCGTTGGAGAGTAAGGGAGGCTGTGTGGGCGTGTGGTATTGGTTGTTGCACCCGTGCCGGCCGGCGGCACAACTTACATTAAGACGAACGTTTAATTCCACCAAATACTTTAATGGAGACAGTGATTTACGCAAAGTATTAACCTTTCAGTGTTGTCGCGACGTTCAGGTACAGCCGCTGTCTCTATAAAAATTTGAAAACGAGACGTGTGCTTTTATTTTAATTGAAAAATATAAATATAAACGAACACGTTCGCATTTTTAGTGTCTGTGTTATTTATTAATTATTGTGAGAAATATGTCAATGGAGGGATTGGAGTATGAAACCATCGTCCAGAACGGACCAAAAAAAGTAAGTTCCGAATATATTAACTTGTAAAATATTATAACTCATTCATTATATTTTTTCATAATATACATAATAATGACAACGTTACGTTTTTATTATAAAGTAACAAATTGATTTTGAAATTAAAGAATGTTATATTTATGATTCATAAAGTACTGTGTCAGGAAAATGGGTAAAAAAAAGATTGTAGTCATGCCTAATGTTGCCTGCATCTATATTGATACGTAAAGGAGGGTGAGGCAGTGTCCTATAGAAATGTCTGGGTGCATTTTCGTAGGTATACTTTGCTGGCGCGCCGCTGAACACGGGGTAATTTGATTTAAGTCTGGATTTTGCGTATTCATATAACCATCATACATGAAGTGACTCCTGTTTTTGAAGACTCTACATCCGTTATCGCAATTGTTTTCAAGCATTTTTATTAATGTGCGTTTTTTTTTAATTTACAAACAAAAACGAAGACGTTAATTGTGCCTTGACGAAACATTTATATTGTAGTCCTAATGTATAGGTATGTCACTTTTTAATATTTTTTTGTTTCTATAATAGCTATTTTTATTTTATTATCGTAATGTGCAGATGTGTTTTGATTACAAAGATTATTATTAATTGAGACATTTAAGACATGTTATTAAGATATATTATACAGTTTATATTATTTTTAAACATTCAGATTACTTATTTCTTATATAGATTATTTATTTATATCTGCTCATAAAAAAAAAGGAAATAAATACTATACCTACCGAAACACTTTTACGAACCATGATTGGAACTGGCGCGGTGGCGTATCATACAATTTTAACCAAATATTCACGCGCTCTTAGTCTGTTGCATTGTTTCGTTGAGAAAATCGCGTGCTTATTAAACGCATTCTTACTTTAACAGCAGCGGGGAAATATCTCATCGCAGTGAAAGATGAGAAAAATTTCACAAAACTTGCAAATCTTTATACATTAACAGTTTTTTTTATCGGAAAAGCTTTTTGCTGATTTGAGGCTTATACTTTTACACCTACATATTTATTATGAATTATTATTTATTATAAGTATTCATTTCTTGAATGCACCATACGGATTTTAAGAAATTGAAATAAAAAAAGTTATTATGTTTATAAATAGTGCTTAAATGTGAAACAAAACTCTCCACTGCTGTCTCTATGTTAATGTCCATAATATTATAATTAATATGCAGCTAAAACGTTTAATTAAAAACATAAGCTTACGAGATCTTTGGAATCACAGAATTTGTTACATAAAAAATGATCATTCTTAATAATAAAGCACTTTGTGCATCGATTGTTTACTTATTTTTTATTACATGTTAATTTAACTAATTGGTGGATGAAAGCTTATCATAACTCTACACCATGCAATTTCTCATTTGTTACTTCGCTTAATAAGATGAGAAGACAATACATAAACTGTGACTACTATTTGATATTACAATAACTTAACGCTTCGATGACGTTATTATCACAAAGATTTATGGGTACAATAACATATCTTTTTGGCGCCGATGTACGGAACACATCTAAAGCTCTTCGCGCTATTTTGCGACACTCCGCTTCAAAATCTATGCCATTGACAACTATTATGCATGAATGAGGGACAATAGAATAAAATTTACATGAAAGTCAGAAAATTAATCTAAAGTAATAGTAGTTCTAGGTGTATTCATTTTTTTTAAGAAACGACATGACAAGATGATTTTGTTAAGGTAGTAAAAATACATTCATTATATGATTATAATTAAAATAATAAAATACATTCATAATATGACTATAATGCTACTAATTAAATTAATAATTCTTTAAAACTTTTACTCACGTTTTATAAATAATAATTATGTAGATAAAATGTATATACATATAACAATGTACAACTACAATTTTGATAGAAGAATCGTTTTTTTTTTTTTGCCAGTAAAAGTTTTTTTTTTTTGAACATTTAATGGCTTGGTAGAGCCAGTTTTTTATAATTTATATTCAAGCGTAAATGCCATCTAAGTTGACATGTTTATACTGATCACATTAAACAAATTGTCGCTAACAAACTAATTTTTTTTTAAATTCAAAAACGGGCTAGCATCTGACTGCCATCCCACCTGATGGTAAGTGGCGATGCAGCCGTTGATGGTCAGCGCGCTAGCTTAGTAAAAACCTATTCACTCTTGCCTTGACAACGTTGTATTCGGACGAAAAGACGGACGCCGGCAGGCCTTTCCATTCCTTAGCTGGACGGATGATAAATGAAGAAGCCAAACGCTTTGTTCTTGTACGTGGAACGTCGACAGCATAAGGGTGGAGCCCCGCGGAACGCCTGGTTGTCCGATGATGGAAAGGGGCGGGAGGAATAAGATCATGTAACTCCAACGCACGCTCTCCAAAATGTATCCTGTAGAAAACCGAGAGGCTCACAACTCCGCGCCTCTGCTCAAGGCTAGTGAGATTGGTTTTAACCAAGTTATGGTCACCAATGAGCCTTTCCGCACGAATGCTTTTGATTGAACAATAAGTTAATGATACTTCCGGACACTATTTATTTTATTAGCTTGACTATGCTAGTTTAGGTAAATAATAGCCAAATAATGTATATAGTATAATATATAGTAATAATAATAATAACCAATAAAAACGGATCGTATCTAAATTCAACAAAACTTGATTAATACTTATATAATACTAGCTGCTGCCCGCGACTACGTCTGCGTAGAGGGGTGAAAATTTAGGGTTGTATGTATTTTTGTATGCTGATATATAAAAAATAGAATATATATATAAAAAAAATATAGAATATATATAAAAATATATATAAAAAATAGAAACAAAAAGTTTTATATAAAAAATAAAAAAAAAAATAGGGGTGGACTACCCCCTTAACATTTAGGGGGACGAAAAATAAATAGTAGCCGATTCTCAGACCTACTGAATACGCATATAAAATTTGGTAAAAATCGGTCGAGCCGTTTCGGAGGAGTTCAAGTTCGAACCCCGTGACACGAGAATTTTATATATTAGATATCCCAATATAGGTACTATAAAATACCGCGTCATGTAATGATATTATAATTCTCATATTAAATATAAGTTATGATAAAGTTGCCATAGTAAACCATTATTATTAACCATATTATACATTTAATAACAATATATAATATCTACATACACTTTATACATACATTTAATAATAATATATAATAGGTAATATTGTGTAATTCTTCAGTTACAGTGCTTGTGTTTTTTTATCGTTTCACATAAAACATGTTGCGCTTACGAGTT